CCTGGCTGCTTCTCCTGTCTCTAAACCTATGAATCTATGTAAAAGAAAAAGCTGGCATGTGACTAATGCTTTATTTCCCACTTCTTCTTGAAGAGTAACTTTCTTATTAAACATAGTATGAAAAAATGAAGCAAGTGTGTTAAGTTGCTTACTCTCTAAGAGGCGAATGGAAATTAGGCACCACCCTATGTCTGGACGATGCCAACATTTCATGGATTCGATACATTCACTAAGAAATAAGCTATGAGCACATAGCAGGCATACTAAACCTAAAACATGTGAGTCCAGGCTTTTTTCTCCTACTTTGTGGATGGTTCTTCTTGAGTTTGTTTAGCTATCAAGAATGAATAAATGAAAACAGCTCCATGGAACTAGCTTATAGTTCTAAGTCAACTGCTTGTATTCTGTTTCTATTCTTGCTACTGGTAACAGTACACAGCATGTTGCAACAAGTATAGTAAATTTTAACTAAAAGTTTTATGAATGGGATCTAATATGGCACCTACCCTAAACCATCTTGTGATAATTATTATAAAATTACTACCATCAAAATAATAAATGTATCTTGAAATTTTCTCCAAATATTTTGTGCAAATATTTTTTTTTCAAGGATGGCAAATAGATGATATGAGGGCCAACTTTCTATGTCCCTGGCAAGTATTGTTAATCGTCTCTGTCCTTCTTTCCTACTGACCCTGACAGAGGCTTCAAAATCTTGCTTAACACAATGTTCCAGACATTGTGTACCACCTGATCAGATACAAGTAAGTTGAAACCTAAATTTTCTTTAATTTTATGAGATTTAAGAGGGGGTGGTGTAAAACAATGTAGGAAAGGAATTCAGGAGCCATATCCTTTCTCTACAATTGCCAACCTTGGCTGAATGTGGATACTTCCCAAGCATTATTCTCTGAGTCTAAGATATATGAACTCATTTCATCCTTACAAAAACCCTATGTTGGACTTAATGTTAGGTTTTTTTCCCCTTATCTGTAGAACTGGATAATAGGGCCCAGAAAGGCTAAGAAATTCAGGGAAGAACGCAAAGCTGGTAATCTTCAGAGCTGGCATTCAAGCCCACATGTTCTGGCTCTCGATCCTACACTCTGAACTACCACGATGAGATAACTCTGTAGGAGTGGCAGGTAATGTATAGTGACTAGAAAAAGTTGGAATCATTGAAAAGAAAGAAAGAAAAACAAAAGAATCAAAAACAAAATCAATATTTATAAGCATAATTTTTTTCTAGGACCAAAACTATGCTTTGAAAATGTATTTGACCATATGTATATAATACATACATGCACCAGGTGTGCATTTTATGAATAATATGAATATTATTTTATGAATAATAACACAAGTAAATGATAATAAGTAATACAATAATATGAATAATAATATGATCATAAGTAAACTTATTCTCAAATCATTCTTTATGGTGATATGAAACTCTATTTTCATGAGCAATGATTAGGACAAAAATGCAGGATAGTGGAGTTCAAGACTCACTTCCCAAATGTCATCACCAAGGTTTTACTAATGATTATGAAGAAATTCATAATGTTTGTGCATTTCCTTGAGGACCTGCTTGTCTACTTTACTGTTTATCAATGGAAAATGACAAAAGCCTATGGATTGCAGTGTAGGCATTATAAACAGAATAAAGGTGAACATTTTTTAGATTTTGTACCTACTAACTTTTCTCATGGTTTTTACTTCAGTGTTGTGGATAACATCATACTTAGGGTATAACTGTTATGGACATGATCTCTCTTGTAGGTGTAATTCCCCTTAACATTGAATGAGGTGGCTATTCAATATGTTATTTTCATAGAAGTCTGAAAAACATGAATCAATAGCCCTGTGATCCACTTACTCTGGATAAATTGAGTATCCATCACATGGCATAAGACAAAAAAAGAAATTCATACAGTTGGTCAGTGTCTCTAGCTATTTTCTCAAATATACTCAAGTAACAAAAGTTCAACCAATTACATTTTGAAGATCTAACTGGCTTTCTGAACCAGTTCTGTAATTGGGCAGCAACCCCTCTAGCAGGTAGAGGGGAGCTCCTAAGGGCTACACAAAAGGAAAGGGTTTTAAAGGTAGAATGGGAATGGAAAAAGGAAATTATTAGCAAAGAATCCATTGTTTTAGGCAAGGTTGCACTTGAAAGGGGAAGTGAAGGAGACTGTCAAGTTCATTTCCTAGTACTGACCAGGAAATCCCCATGTTGACTGGTTAAAGGTTACATTCTTGGAGGTTGAAGCTGCCCTTAGGTTAGGTACTACTAAGTCTTGGTTTGCTGATGTGGGGTCTTAACTAAGTGACACCATTTGGAACCCATGATTTTCTTTTCAACAGTACAAACATCTCTACAAAAATTGGTTCTAACCTAAGAGGTTTTTTTTTTTTTTTTTTTTATAACTTGTGAGTAGGTGTTACCATTGAATTCATCCTGGGAAGATGTTTGGAAAAGTGTCTGTGGAAACTTTCATGACTGTAGCTACAATATATACAGACTAAAGAATAAAATTTAATCAAACATTCTAATTATAAGGAAAAAAATAGTCCATGTTAATTAGCCAGGTCTTCCAGAGCCTTCATGGAAGGTTAGTCACATATACAAGTAAAGACTAGACTATGAGTCAACATTTTGTATAATAATAATAGATGTTTAGCTGAATTTTCAACTTCCATCCCTGTTAGGATGCTGGGCTATACTCCTACACAGCCTTTGAGTAACTTGCTCAGTTGGAAAGCTCATCAGATAGGGTTCCAGAGTACAATGTAGAGGTGTGGGTTAGGAATTCATATTCTTTTCTGCTTCTCCAGTGGCTCAGTCTGCACACTTTACAGCAAAGGGCGGAGACTCTAACTAGTGTAGGAACCCATCTCCAGCACCATTCAGTGGGGACCACTGGTATGATTCTAATAACCACCCCCCCCCCAGTACACAATGGTGAAGGAAAATTTCAGAGTGAAGAAGTAGGTCACATCTGCTTGTTAGAACAGATGCAGTTCATACCGAAATATCACTTGGAGAAACAGTTCATCCTTGGTCTTGATGCTGGCAGGCTGGGTCAGAGGACCCAGAGGGATTCCTCCAGCCAAGAGGACCCAGGGCCACACAAAAGATGGAAATGAAGCGTGAGCCAGCAGGTGGTGAAAGCAGAGTTTATTGAAGGTATAGAGAAAATGCAGGCATGGATGGAGTCTGGCAGACTCAGGAAGGAGACAGTCTTGTCTTTGTTCAGGGCCTGGGGTTTTTATTGAGGATTAGGTCTGGTGCATCTGTCCTCTAAGGCATCCAGGAACTGGTCAGAACAGAGACCAGGGCCCAGGGCTTATTCCCTGGAGCGAGGAGGTCTTGGAGTCAAGATGTCTAGCTTTGGCGGTCTGGAATATGGGTATAATAGCTTCAATAGGTCATCCTCACCTGCCCCTTCCTTAGATATCATCTATCTAGAGAAATGATTAACTCCTTGTCCCTCACAAGGACGACAGTCACTGTTTGCAGTTGAGGCATGTGTAGAGTTGGGGGTGCCAGTTCCTTGCAAGAATAGAGCTGGAAGGGGTGACTGGGTGGCTCAGGCAGTTAAGTGTCCGACTTCGGCTCAGGTCATAATCTCGCGGTTCGTGGGTTCGAGCCCCACATCAGGCTCTGTGCTGACAGCTCAGAGCCTGGAGCTGCTTCCAATTCCATGTCTCCCTCTCTCTCTGACCCTCCCCTGCTCACACTGTCTCTCTCTCTCAGAAATAAATAAAACATTAAAAATTTTTTTAAAAAAAGAATAGAAGCAGGAAAAGGAGCAAAAGCAGATTTTTATGGAGTCTTCCATTTCTCTCTCCCAGCCTGAAACTGGAAATTGGTCCTGACAGTGATGCCACTGGCTGGTCGGTCTGCCTGGTTGGCAAATACTGCCACATGGTCTTTCCATTTTAAACGTTTGGTGTGATTTTACTGTTTGCGTGGTGATAAGATTCTTTCATACTGGAACAGTCCTGAATGAATAGGATAGACTGCTCAACGTCGATCTGTTCTCAGCAAGTTACAGCCACTGGATTTACTGCTTCTTTCTGCAGAACCTAGTGTCCCACACGCATGCAAAGCCCTTGATCCTGCTCACACTGTCTCCACCCCTTAATATATATCTCCATCTTCTATTATTATTTTTTTTAAATATGCAATCTTTTCGAAGTCAAATCTTCTCCTTACCCACACCCTCGCATGATTAATACTATTGTCTGTCTCAGCATTGGGCAAGTAATGGAACTTAGGGTGTTCAGATATAGTCCATTTTTCCTCGCCTAGAGATTGAAAGATAAGTTTCACAATGAGACAACCACACTACAATAATGTCTGCCAAGACCACAGGTAAACATGAAACTTCCTCTGCTGTGAGGCAGACCTGGTTCTGTTCCCAGCTCTGGCACTTACCCTATGTGCAAGTTATTTCGTTTCTAAAAGCTTTTCTCCTTTCTAAAATGTGGATATTAATAGTGTTAACAGCATAAAGTTAGATTAAATTCAGTAATTCATGGAGAGCACTTATCATGTGCCTTCACACGGCAAAGGCTCAGGAGATCTTTCTTATAGCTGTGCGTTTCTTATATTCCTGTTTCTTTAGGCTGTAAGCTTCTTGAGGTCAGACATTCATTTTTCATTTTTGGTCCCTAGCAAAGTTTTAAGCAGACAGTAGATTCTGGTCATCTATTTGACATGCCTTGTAAAACCATAATGAATTTGTATTAATTTTCAGTTTCAGAGTAATACAAATAGAGTAAAACAAAGCATTGATGTACAAAAACAGGGACTTTATTTTGTTCACTGGTAGTTAGGTCTGCTATGAGATGTGACTATGGCTTAGCCCCCAGGGAGCAGCTGTATGGTCTGAGCCAGGCATCACTGTGCTTCCCTCCTTACAGGACCCAAGCCTCCAGAAAGCACCAAATTTGAGCACAGAAATATGACCCAGAGAACAGGCTAGACAAATACATTTCATCTGCTTAATCATTTTATTTTTGTAGGTTAAACTCACTGCACATGAATACAGAATTTTAAGCCTTGAAACTTGTGCAGGATAGTCAAGCTCATGACCATCCTTTGACAATATGCCTTTAATTAAGCTCCTGTTGGAATTTTTAAAACCTTTCTTAAAATGTGGTTGGTTTCTTTTCATGTTCCAATTGAAAGGAAATTGGAAGAGGTGCCAATTCAGTTGCACTTTGAGGAAATCTGCTGACTTCAGGACATGTTAGTTTTAAACAGTCATAGAGGTAGCACTTGATGGCAGTGCCTTTTACTGAGAAAGCCAGTCATTCCCGTTGCAGGTCCCAAAACTTACATCTTGTCAGGTCAACCCAACTTAAAAGACACTGAGGAATCTGAATATCTTTTCTAGATTCTTTGGAGCCAAGCCCGTTTGCTGTCATAGGCATAGAGGCCTTGGCATAGAGGCCAATCTCTTCCATGGCACAACACAAAAGCTTTGTGGATGTTGGATTATTTTAATTTGCTGATAGTGCATTTGCTATGAGGCTGATTTTTACAACTTCTGATTCAAAAATTGTCACAAAACATTTGAAAGCCTACCTTTTCTGCATTACTAAATAACTTTGCAATAAATAATACCCACAAATACAAAATCACTGAATGCAAAATTTCAATTGTATTTTCTTATCTGGCTACATAAAACCACTTTGACTTAAGTCAAAGTCGACTTAAGTCAAAGATGGGGCTAACTAGATTTTTGTGACTATTTTCTCTCTAAAATGAAATTAAAATTTTTAATTTGAAACCTCTCTTTACTGAATTTAAAGAAACACTTCCAGTCAATGCACAGCATCATTTCAATGTTGGTAGTCTTTGTAGCTGAACAGCTAGACTTTCATCTCTTTCTTTTAATTTTGTAGAAATTGCATCACATCATCAGTAAGAGCAGCCTACATAGATGCCTATAAACACAGATCCCTACTTCATGTATTTTCTGAGAGGGTAGAACATACTGAGAATAAAGGTAAGTATTTGCAAGTTCCCTCCACACTGTTTCCTTTATACTCGTTGCCAAATGTGAGATTTACCTGTAAATGCCTCAGAAATGGCACAAAATTATGCTACAACTGGACCAAATAATCAAATCATTTGTGATTTTGATCCATCTCCAATAAAGGGCTCATATTTGGTCAATAATTTTTCAGTCACAGTAAAACTCAAAAGAGAAAGAAGTTTTGAGAGTCCATACTGACTACAAAAGAAAACAGGACAAGCATTTCATACACGCACGTGCGCGCACACACACAAATTAAACCATGTTTTCAGGGCTTGCACTTTTTCACTGTTAAGCGTAACATTTTCAAAGAGGTGAACTAGCAAATTTAGGAAAGATTTAACCCAATTTTGCACAGATACTACCAATCATATACTGTGGGGCTTAGCAGAGTAGATGATTAAACAGCATTTTCCAAATAGCTACAGATTATCTGTCCCTACATTTCAGGGCTGGAATTCACCATCAGGGGATCCAGAAGGCAGGCAGTTACCTGAAATCATCTTCAAGGTAAAGACCACACGGAGAGTGGGCTGTGTCAGCCTTCTACAGCCTAGCCAACCCCTAGGCAGACACTAGATGGCAATCACATCATCACGACAGTTACAGCCAAGAAAACATCAAACTGGGCATAATTTTCATCATAATCTGCAAACTTCAGCCTGAACAATGAAATTTAATCACTAAAAATATTAAATACTAGGGCTTTGGATAAGTTATCTTTGGACATTCTCTTGTTTAAAAGATAGTCACAATGGCACTTAAAAATAATTTGGAAAATAATATGGCTTCAAGTGGACAAATAAATAGGATTTTTAACAGAAGTCTTTGCATTATCTATTGCCTTCCTCTTGCTTTGGTTCCACTGATAATTTCTCCCCAAGTTTTCTAATAAGTTCTGCTAGGTCTTCCGAATTCTGAGTTTTCTCTTCAAGGAGTTCATAGCGGAGGCTTGAGATGTCCTGTTTAATTTCCTTCAGTTCCCCTTTAAAAAACAAGAGAGATAGGAAGTCAACTATAAATACATAATGCATGGGAACTAGTGATTCTGGAACAGAATGAAATCAGTCAATTCCACACATATCTGTAGTTTGAATCCTTTCAAATGAAAAAAACTTCCTAGAGGGGCAGGTTTCTATGTTCTCAGCTAAAGGTTTTGAAAAGGTTATGAATGAAAAGGTTATGGAGAAAACATGATAACAAAAGTCTTAAAGTAAAAAAGAAACATTGGTGGAAAATGTTTGCAGGACTGGGGGTAAGAGCCTTTTACCTTTCCCAACCACTTCCTCCTCCCTCCAAACCACCCCCCCAAAAGCAAGTTACTTCTGTAGCAGGTGACACCTGCCCCAATTCTGGAAAAACAGCCTATTTTCCTACGCCATTTAACAGCTCTGATGGGTGGTGAGATCCGCCTTCTCTCCCCTGGGAGGCTCACCCTCCCCACACCTCTCTCTCCAGTTTTCCTCCGGCTCTGAGTCAGGCCTGCGTCCACACTGAGGCTCAGGGGCCGGCTGTCACTGTTCAGCTCACCTTCATTCACATCGTCACTCTCCCGATCTATCTGGGCTTGTAGGACGTATCTTTTAATGAGCCTCTTCATAATTTTCTAGACAGACAAAGGAGAAACCCATCTCAGTTTTATTTTTATGACAAATCTCTCATTTGGAATAACTGTCTGAGTCTTTCTTCTGTAAGGACCTCGAAGTGATGCTAACAAAGATTAAGCGGATTTATCTGGTAGGGAATGCACGCTCTCGCCAGATTATTAAGGCAGTTTTTACATTACCAGAGCTAATGACTTGCAAGTTAATTCCTGAGAAAAGAATAGTTGTAGAGAAAACATCTACCCCTTGGTGTTTATTGCTTGTATTTTACTTGCAAAGTAGTAGAGTAAAACACAACTTTTCATTTGGGGAGGTTGATGGTGTATATAGTACTGGATTTGGAAATGGGAAATTAACCAAACGTACACTTGTTTATGTTTTTTGACCTCCCTTACCAAGAAAGGTAACCAGTTTTGATTTCATACTTGCTAATAATTCAGGAATGTCAGTGCATTACTTCTATTATTTTTTTAAATTTACATACATGTTATTTAGCATTTAGGGCAATAATGATTTCAGGAGTAGAATCCAGGGATTCATCCCCTGTTATGTATAACAGTGAGTGCTCATCTCAACAAGTGTCTTCCTTTTTTTTTTTTTTTAAATGTTTTTTTATTTATTTCTAGGAGAGAGACAGAGAGAAAGCGTGAGCAGGGGAGGGTCAGAGATAGAGGGAGTCACAGACTGAAACAGGCTCCAGGCTCTGAGCTGGCAGTCAGCACAGAGCCCGACGCGGGGCTCGAACCCACGAACCGCGAGATCATGACCCAAGCGAAAGTCGGACGCTTAACCGACTAAGCCCCCCAGGCGCCCCAACAAGTGTCTTCCTTAATGCCCCTTGCTCATTTGGCCCTTCCCCCTCCCACAGTCCCTCCAGGAATCCTCAGTTTGCTCTCTATTTAAGAGTCTCTTATGTTTTGTCCCCCTCCCTGTTTTTATATTATTTTTGCTTCCCTTGTGTTCATCTGTTTTGTATCTTAAATTCCACATATGAGTGTAGTCATGTGATGTCTTTCTCTAATTTTGCTTAGCATAATCCATTATAGTTCCATCCACATTATTGCAAATGGCAAGATTTCATTATTTTTGATAGCCGAGTAATATTCCATTGTATATGTATATGCTACATCTTCTTTACCCATCCATCTGTCGATGGACATTTGGGCTTTTTCCATAGTTTGGCTCTTATTGATAGCATTGCTATAAACATTGGGGTGCATGTGACCCTTCAAAACAGCACACCTGTATCCTTTGGATAAATACATTGTAGTGCTATTGCTGGGTCATAGGGTAGTTCTGTGTTTAATTTTTTGAGGAACCTCCATACTATCTTCAAGATTGGCTGTACCCACTTTGCATTCCCACCAGCAGTGCAAAAGGGCTCGTCTTTCTCTGTATCCTTGCCAACATCTGTTGTTGCCTGAGTTATTTTTAGCCATTCTGACCAGTGTGAAGTGGTATCTCATTGTGGCTTTGATTTGTATTTCCCTGATGATGAGTGATGTTGAGCATTTTTTTCCTGTTTCCGTTGGCCATCTGGATGTCTTCTTTGGAAAAGTGTCTACTCATGTCTTTTGCCCATTTTTAAACAGAATTATTTGTTTTCTGGGTGTTGCTTTGATAAGTTCTTTATAGATTTTGGATACTAACCCTTTATCTGATATGTCGTTTGCAAATATCTTCTCCTATTCCATTGGTTGCCTTTTAGTTTTGCTGATTGTTTCCTTCACTGTGTAGAAGCTTTTTATCTTGAGGTCCCAATAGCTCATGTTTGCTTTTGTTTCCCTTGCATCTGGAGACATATTGAGTAAGAAGTTGCTGCAGCCGAGGTCAAAGAAGTGTTTGCCTGCTTCCCCCTCGAGGATTTTGATGCCTTCCTGTCTTACACTGAGGTCTTTCATCCATTTTGAGTTTCTTTTTGTGTGTGGTGTAAGAAAGTGGTCCAGGTTCATTCTTCTCCATGTCACTGTCCAGTTTTCCCAGCACCACTTGCTGAAAAGACTGTCTTTATTCCATTGGATATTCTTTCCTGCTTTGTCAAAGATGAGTTGGCTATATGTTTGCAGGTCCATTTCTGGGTTCTCTATTCTGTTCTGATCTGAGTGTCTATTTTTGTGCCAGTACCATACTGTCTCATGATTACAGCTTTGTAATACAATTTGAAGTCTGGAATTGTGATGCCTCCAGGTTTGGTTTTCTTTTTCAGAATTGCTTTGGCTATTCAGAGTTTTTTGGTTCCATACAAATTTTAGGATTGTACTTGGAGGGTGCAGCTGGGTAGGGCTTGGTTTATGCGTGTACGCGCATGCCCGGGAGAGGTGAAAATGGCATGGCGCAGCTTCCCAGTCTCTAGCACCAGAATTCTGTGCTCTCACTGACCCGCAATCCAGCACCTCTCCTTTGCTTCCAGCTTCTGTCCACTCCCTGCTTCTACACTGTGTCCAAGCTGTCAGCCTGCCAGGCACCACTCTTCCAAGTTTTATCTCAGATGGGGCTGTGTTTCCAAATCCCTCATTTCTGAAAGTCCTGAGGCTCGGACCTGCTCCGGCCCTCAAGGGGAGGGTCTTGGTGAGCAATGGCCAGGTGCCAGCTTGCTCCCAGGAACGTTAGTGTGGCTGTGCTGTTGCAGGGGTTCAGAGGTTGCGGCTGGGTGCCTGCTTGCCCCAGGAAAAGTTCATGCGGTCGGGCAGCAGCAGAGGGTCAGAGATTATGGCAAAACACAACACACAGCCAGCACCAGGTTTAACCATGCCCTGGTGACTTTGTTCCAATACCAGCACACATGGCTACTTTCTGGGGTCCACTGAGACCTTTTCCTGGGGGAGGCTGTATGGCCTCTACCAAATGCCCTCCTAGCAGGGGACTGCTGCTTGCTGTGCGGCCCACGGACCGCTCAGATCTCACCGTCTGCACTGGGGATTTGCCCATCCTCCCCACCAAACTCCGCCAGGCATCGCGCTGCGTGGTCTCTGACTCTGCGCTCCCCTGCTTCTAGAAGCCTAACGGTACTGAAACCCTCTCCTTTCTCCCTTTCTTGTTCAATCCCTTGTGGGAGTTTCCACTCTTTCTCTTTCTCTCCCGCTACTTCCAGGGGGAGTGCTTTTCCTGTACTCCACCTCCTCTGCTCCCTCTCTGCGAACGAAAACAGCGCCCTACCCTCCACAGCTTCTCCCCCCCCCCACCTCTGTGCCGCGGGCATGCCAAGTTCTGTGGTTCAAGTTATGCAGATTGTTTTGTTAATCCTAAAATCAATTTTCTAGGTGTGAAAAATGGTTTGTGCTGGTCTACCTAGATTTTAGGGATGAGAGAAGCCAAGAACTTCCAGGCTGCTCCACCATCTTGACCCCTCCCAGTGCATTGGAATGTCTAGTTTCAATGTAATAAAGTTCCCCCCCATCTGGGCTTCAACCAGGAGAACGTTGGAAAACCAGGAGGCTCAGTGCCATGTGCAGGAAGTCCTGGGTGGGCACATAGTTAAACCAAATCTAACTCTCTAAACCTCAAATTAAATGGTGGACAATAAAATTCCACTTTTAAGAACTTATTCTAAGGATGTAATTGGGTGTATGGACAATATTCATAGTAGTACTACTTATAATACTAGAAAAAACCCTTAAAATTCCATCAATAGGAAATTATTTTTAATAAATTATCATGTATTAGTATAAAGAAGACTATATATCCATTAAAATTAATATGAATATATGTTTTGTGAAGTGAAAAACTGTTATTCATTATTTAAGTATTATTAACTCATTTATATGTTATATATTTATATAATATTTAAGTATATGTGAAATATACATATACATATACACATAAATATACATATAATCACCTGGCAGAATACCACCAAATAAGTAGTCTCTAAATCTTGGTAGTGACTTTTGAGGTATACTTTGTTCTCTCCTGTATGTTTTTTTGTGAAGATAGACATTTCACAATGAACATGTAGACTTTTTACGATGAACACGTAGACTCTAAGCTCTGGGATGCCAAGATTTCATCTATTTTATTTACTTATGTATCTCTAGTCCTTAGAAAGTATAGGCACATTTGTAGAATTCAAGCATTATTCTGATATTGTGACAAACAACATAATAGTTGATTTTCACTTAAAGAATCACATAGTTTGGGACTTTAAATATTACAAATAACTAGTCTTAGATCTTTAAAAAAAAATCATGCTTACCTGATACTTTCCTGGAGGATTACTGAAACTATTTAACTGGAAATCTTCTGAGCTCCTTATACTTGATTGTTTACTATGCCCAAGCTGTAATTTGAAAATAATAAGAAATTCTTATTTTTCTTATAAATAATGTGATATTTATTAGTTATATATAGCAATTTATTAGTTACATATGTAAACTTTAATTTAATTTACTTTATAGTCTATCTTCCAAGACAAACCATAGGCACCTGAGGGGTGCTGGATGTCTTGACGGCTATTTAAGGTTGTCTGAGGACCCTCATAGACTTCATGGCTATCAGTCATGTGGTCATGACAGTCACATTTTAACCTTCTCACAGGTGCATGTATGACAGAGGAAGAAGTAAACAAGTTGGGGAAGTGATGGTGGTGATCTCATCAGTCCCCTGGTGAGGGAACAACGGGCCAGCATCCATGACCACAATACCCACACTTGTAGGCAGGTGCCATGGGGTCCTGAAGAAACACCGGGGTAAGACTTTGTTATGGGATGGAGTTCAGGGGCCAATAAACAACAAATTAATGCATCTGAATTTGAGGATCTATACAATATTATATTTGGGCAGTAGTTTTCAAATCATGTATTTGCTTGAACAGGCAAATAACAAACATCTAAAGCAATCTGGAATAAAGGTGGTAAAGTGCTGTATTAACATGCTAATAGGGCACTGGGGTGGCTCACTTGGTTAAGCTTCTGACTTCATATTAGGTCATGATCTTGTGGTCAGTGAGTTCAAGGCCCGCGTCAGGCTCTGTGCTGATAAGCTCAGAGCCTGGAGCCTGTTTCAGATTCTGTGTCTCCCTCTCTCTGCTCCTTCCCCACTCATGCTCTGTCTCTCTCTGTCTCTCAAAAATTAATAAATTCTAAAAAAAATTTTTAAAACATGCTAAGAAAACGATTTAAAAAACCTCTTCATGGCATTTTCTAAAAGGAAAACAATCGTTCTAAAAAGAAATAAGTAGGAGAACCTCAGCAAAACACATTAGCTTCAAATGTGTAGTTTTTTTCTGTTTGTTTTTTCATATACAACTTCTTTCCAGTGGACAAGAAACTTAAGACCATCTTCAAAGACAGCCATGATTCATATTTCCCAGTGGCATCTAAGTTGCTATAAGTAAAGCTCATCGAGAACTAAAGTCCTTAGCTTCAATGCTTTGATGCTTTAAATGGCCACATACTGACCTAAAACAGCTATACACACATTCATCCAGTGAACACGTGGACACTGATTGAGTGGCCTTTGGATGAAGATGCTGTGCTATGGATGTTGGCTATTCAATGAAGAACATAACAATCATGATCTTGCTAACTTATAGTCACAGAAAAAATATAGTAAGACTGATAAGACCCATAAAACACAATATGCAATTCTGAAAATACTGGCACCCCTTTTCATGTAGCTATTCCTCTTTTCTTTCAATTGCTTTAAAAGTGTCAGCAAAATATCTATATTTTACTTTATGTTAACTTTAAAAATCATTAAAATTATACAATTGACCAAATGAACCAAAGGGAGGCAGCTTGGATTCTCTAATAAAAGAGTGCTTGACAGAAATGTAAAGACTATGGCTCTGCCACAACTGCTGTGGAGCAGCAGGTGAGACGCTGGAACATTCTGGAACTTTCTGCACTCTCTCCGACAATGAAGGAACCGGTCCAGTGGACACCCATTTTCCTTCAAGTCCTACTAATCTATGGATTTGTGAAACAAATGCAAACTTCAACATATTTTTAATAATGTAGTTTTTAATATTCTTTAAAAACATTTTTTGAGCATTTTATTTATTTCCGAGAGAGAGAGAGAGAGAGAGAAAGCATGAACAGGGTAAGGTCAAAAGAGAGAGGGAGATACAGAATCTGAAGCAGGCTCCAGGCTCTGAGCTAGCTGTCAGCACAGAGCCCGACTCAGGGCTCAAACCCATGAACCTGAGCCAAAGTCAGATGTTTAACTGACTGAGGCACCCAAGGGCCCCTATTCCCAAAAACAGTTATGCATTTACCTTTCTGATGGTGTAATGTTTCCTGGCTTTCAAACCATGATTTTTGCTGTAAGGACATTACATTAAATATGATGACATCATCACTAAATATGATGACAAGATTCAAGTCCACTTTCATCCTCCATTTTCCTGATATAGCATGGAAGGTGAGGACAGGTTCATAATCAGAGGAGAGGATCCAGACGAAGGGATCTTTGTGCATCGTCCCTTTGCTTTATTTACTACCTATTCATGAATTTACAATCTCATGATTGCAAATCATTAATTTGATGTCTCCTTCTTTCATTAGGGGCCACTAGTACATCCAAAAAGTGTTCATGGAAATAGGAAAGTGAAAAATTATGTTTCTTTGGGATTTTTTTGAAGATGAATGCGTGAACCTTAGCATCTGATATGCCAGTCAACCCCAGTGAAAGTCAGCTCACGTCATTACATGCAGGTGGAGATCATCTTTTTTGGGGGGGAAGGATTTAATCTTATATTAACATCACCCAGGTCTTTGTTCATTCATTCATTTCTAATTTAAGGTCTTTGTGTTTGCTGTTCCCAGTTCCTGAAATGCTCTTTTCCTGGCTCCTTGCCTGACTGGCTGATTTGCTCTGCTTCATCTTTTGGATTTTAGCTTAAAACATAAGCTCCTCAGAGAGGTTTTCCTGCCCATCCCATGAAAAATAGATCTTGAGCAACCTAGGTCATTTGTATCCTTCATAATGTTTTACAATTGGCATTTATTTTATTCACTGGCTTGGTGACACGTTTATCTACAACCTGCTATGCTCTATGGAAGGAGAGATTTTGTTTAGCTCATCTCACTGTGCCTGGAGCCAGAACTGCCGGCAGACGGCAAGTGCTCAGAAAGCATTGGTTGCGGAAATGAAAGAAGAAAGGAGTGCTTTTGGGTCACTGATGGGGTTCACTGGCCTTCACGACACCTGGCTGTATAAAACATGTTCACTCTAGGTTCCAACCAGTTGGCTGCAGCTTAACTACATGGTAAAGGCACCTCTGAACTGTGAAGAACCGAACGGAGGACATGAGGCTGAAGCCATACAAAGGACCACACTGGATGGCACACAAGAGGCAACAGGGGCAGGAAGGCCGGAGAATGGTATTCTGTTCATCTGAGAATGTGTGTGATTGCAGATTTTCTGGACTCTGGATCTTGAAGCATCAACGGCCACAGCTACTGTGTATTCATACCATTTCAGCACAACACACGTGCCCCCACCACTTCATGCTCTCAGTGGGTACAGTCCAAAGTTTCTTAACTGCAACAGTTTTGACACTTTGGGCTGGATACGTCTTTCTTGTGTGGGGCTTCCTCTACATTATAGAATGTTTAGCAGGATCCCTGGCCTCTACCTACTAGATGTCAATAACAGCTCCCCTCTCTGGTTGTGACAACCAAAATGTCACCAAGTATTGCAAAGGTACCCTGAGGTGCCGGTAGTGGAGGGGGGTGAGGGGGCGTTGGATCACCCCTGGTTGGGAACCATGGGTGTAGCTGAATGATATATGGCTAAACAGTTATAAATTTATTTGTGTCACTTTCACGTGACTGGTTCTTCTCTAAATCTGAAATATGAACTTGGATACAAATATAACAAAAAATTCTAATCAGCTTCTAATACATAATAGGTTAAGAAATCACATGAAAGAAAGAATGGAAGGAGAAATTTACTCGTGGTGCAAAGAAGCACTATTACCACCTGGTGGCAGCAAACTCTAATGTAGAACTGTTCCCACGGACAGCCACTCAAGCCAACCGGAAAGTCAGGGGGATTCAACTGGCTAAACAAATAGTATTCAAACCTCAGGGATGTGGCTTTCTATAAATGGTACATAAATGGTACTGACGTGTGAAACGCAATGGGAGTGGCAGCAGGAAAGGCTGGCTTTAATCTTTGTTCCTGACTCATGTGAAAATATACTGATTCTGAATGAACTACTATCTATCCTTATTTTTATACCACATTTCCTGCATTTTATGTTTATTTCCTAGTAATTATTTTGATATTAGCACTTAGCCTAAGGCCAGGAACAAAGCAATGAGCTAAAAACATACAGACATCATGTTCAGTCAGCAGGGATGCAGACATGAAAAGTACCACGTGGAGCAGTGCTTATAAAGCTCTTGCTTTGGAATCAAGGATTTGAATTTGAATTCTGGCTGTCATTTGTCTGAAATGGGACTGTGGGCAAGTTACTTCAGCTCTATTTTCCTCAGGTTTCTAATGTATGAAATAGGAGAAATAATACTACCTACTTCCTAGAGGTGGTGTGAGAACCAAAGAGGAAAGGTGTGGGATACACCGCTTGGCATACAGTAGGTGCTCTGTAAGTGTCAACAGCCTATTACTGTTGTACAGAAGGATAGATGTCTAATGTCTATTATGTGGATTTAGGCCTATTTCATGTTTCATTTTAATCCAGTCTAGTCTAATCTACTGAATATTGCTGTTTACTGATGTGTTCATGACAGAGTCATTCAGGGAATGAAATATTCTGTGATTCCCACACCCAGATGGGCATTAGAATATCCTAAGGCCTTACTAAAATACACACTTCCAAACCCCAATGCCAGAGATTTCAATTCAATACACCTGGAGAAAAGGATTGGGAATTTGCACAAAATCAACTAGAGAAGTAGCCTTAGTGATGGTGACAGGTTGGAACCACTATGTTATGTGATTGTTTCATCTGCGACTAGAAAGAAAATTAACAGCTAATATAATTAACAGCTAATAGACACAGTTCCTAGGTACGTAACTAATAACAAAAAAATCTGCACATCTCATTCAACCCAGTGCCGAACAGACAGAAAATGCTAAAATGACATCTACCGCACAGGACACAAAGGCCTGCCTGCAACTGACAACTTGAATGTGATCGTTCCTGGAGCCTGAAGAGAGCAGTTAATCAGGAAGCTATTGGCGTCTTCAGGTTTACGCATCATACAATGTGGCAGAGAGATGGACTTGAATTACGCCAGCCTCTCAGACTCTCTCTGAAAAGCTAATGCTAGCAGCCGCCAAATTCAGGGACCTTCAGAGCTGAAGGATATGACCAAAGATAATAAATAGGTCTGCTCACTTTGTTTCAAAGAGTATTTTTATGTGGCTCGTTCCACCGATTTCCACAGTGGACGTGGAGCACATGTGGAAGCGATGTTGGTAGAACCTAACCAGGTTAGTCTTCCAGGAGTCAGAAGATCTGAGTGAAATGGAAACTTAAGTGCTGTTCTGGATGTAGACTTTATGAAAAAGAAAGCAAAAGTCATACAAAGTGGGTAATAAAGAGGTTTTCCTAGTCCCTCTCAGGCCAAGCACATTCCAGCGGAAGCCCACCTCAGTAACAATGGGCAAACTGGATTGAAAATACAAATGTTTGCTGTAAAAGCACTCTCCCAGGCAAACAGCTAACGTATCAAGCAAGAGCAAGCTGCGGGGGTCAACTTCCGTTCATCACAGGCTTACACGGCAAGGGAAGGTAAAGCAGGCGGCTGCATTCCTTGGTCCTCCAGGAACCAAATGCCAAGACGTAGTAAGAGGTATGCGAGGTGCTCAGAATCACACCTCTGACAGGTAACGGGGAGCAAGGGCAGGGAAGGGCGAAAACAGTCTTGGACTGTGGGGCTTGGCTCCCCCGTGAAAGAGGGTAAGGTAAAAGACCGAAAAAGTCACCTGGCCCGACTGGGAGCTCCAGCACAAAGACTGCTCCAAGACAGTCCTGCCCTGGCAAAGAACATGGCACAGCGGGGACGGCGGAGGGGCCCGAAGGCGCTGGGGCCTGTCCGCTGACCACATGCCCTGAAAGAAGATGTGAGCGGCACATCCTCATGGTCGCCAGAGCAGAGAACCATGAAGAAAGTTCTCTAGATGGTAACACTCACATTAGAATTGACCCTTTATTGATTCACAAGGAGGGTCAGGTACCACAGGCTCAGTGTTGCTCTTAAAGAGCTTATTTTAATCTAGGATGAAAACACGCGCTATTGTAAAGTGTCAGGTAATCGAAGCCAAGGTGAATTTTTCACATGACTACAACAAAGTTTAGTTTTCTACGTTTTTGGAGAAATTACAAAGAAAATAGAGTTATTTGATTTCAGAGGTACGATATTTTCTATCATAAAAAGAAAAAAGCATTTTGACTCGCCCTGAATTTTTCTCCTATCTGTCTGAGGATTTATTGTTCTCATACATCCATCATACTTTGAGCACAAGTGGTGTGCGATGGGTTCACGATGTGGTCATCCCGCGTTCACAGATGAGGCAAGTGAGGTTCAGACAACAGAGAAGCACGAGGAATGAGCACCAGAGCTGAGACGAGATCCCAGTCTCCTGGTACTTAGATCAGTACTGTATCAGTACCTCCTGGCAGTGCTGTTTTGTCGGGGGAAGTAACTACGGAGCTTGAAAACAAAGCAAATGGCCTGCGGACCTGTGGCTGTGGGGTGGGGGGCAGCAGCATCCGGGAGTCCAGGCAGGTGCAGCCAGCACCCCCATTTCTCCACTGCCTTCCTTCCTTTTTCACGTCTCAGGAGCGGTTTTGACAGTGAAGCTGTCGTCCTGTCTCTCTGACACAAGAATCCAGGGGATGACAAAGGACTCCACCCTGACAACAGCCCCGTCCTGCCTGATTCTGAACAGTCCATCTTGTTTAAACCACCATGAGTCTTTTTTTTTTTTATTATGTGCAACTGAATGCAAGTCCTACCTGATACACCGCCCCTCTGCCAGTCAGTTACGACGTCCCTTAGTAACCAGCACATAGTGTGCCCTACTCTGCACAAGCTCCAGGAAGGAAGAGGTCCTCAGAGTTGGGCATTCTGCCACTCTGAATTAGGAGCGACTGCATCTCCAGGGCACGCGGCTCAGAGGCTCAGACGCACTCTGCCGGCTGCGGTGACCACTGAATTCTCTCAGGGTGTCCACGGCTTCCTGATGACCGACAGGTGCAGGCACGGGGGCTCTGCTGGGTGTGCGCAGCCCCGCCCCCGCCCCGCAGTGCTCAGGGTGCAGTGAACCAGATCCCAGTTGGGTCCCTGATGTTCCTCTATCAGTTTAATTTTTCCTGCTTTACATCACTATTCCCTGTGGGTATATTTCATTACCCACAAATACCCAAACATATATGCTTAATATCTGTCTTTAATATACACGTAATTCTTTTTGCTGATTAAATGGACATAAGTTTCTTTCCATCACTCAGTAACAGATTCTTTGAGGCATTTTAAAAATAAATAAATTCTTCAATGTGTGTATTACCTGTTTCTTGAATTGTTTGCTGGTCACACACATGACTTCATGTTTTTAAATATGATCTTACCTGCTTTTTGTCAAGTGATAATTTTGAAAGGTCTTCATGACTTCCCCAAATTCCAAATTTCTTTTCTTCATTTCTCTTTTAAAAATAGATAGTAAGATGAGTACATTTAGAATGCCAATTCTACATTTAGAATTACAAAAACAATTTCATTTTTTATTCCATATTTTAAAAGCTATCAGGTCAGATTCTGTAGCAAGTTTCTCTTTTTTTCATTTTAAATTTTTTAAAAAAGTGTTTTATTTATTTCTGAGACAGAGAGAGACAGCATGAGCAGGGGAGGGTCAGAGAAAGAGGGAGACACAGAATCTGAAACAGGCTCCAGGCTCTCAGCTGTCAGCACAGAGCCCGATGTGGGGCTCGAACCCACGAACCGTGAGATCATGACCTGAGCTGAAGTCGGACGCTCAACCGACTGAGCCACCCAGGCGCCCCTGGACAGATCTTGTAACGCGTTTGTTTTTACACAGAACTACAATTGAACTACTTGTAACTTTTGCCCATGGTATCTCTCCATGTTTTTGAAGGGATAAAATACAAGTATAACCCTAGTTAAAACTGGGAGCTCTAGAGACATGCACCCTGTTCCCCTTCAATTCTCCTTCTCTGGATATAGCCGCCAAGTCCGTCAACTACCCATCATGTGACGCCTTATATGCACCTGTCCCCACACTGGCCCTTCTCCGTATGCATCCGTCTCTCAGTGCTCCTCCTGGATGTGGTTCACACCAGCAGAGCTCCTGCCCTGGGCAGCTGCCCCTCCCCCATCCGCTGTGGCACACGACTTTCCACATGGGCTCAGAACACTTTGGAACACACTGCTAACCCTCACGTAAGCACTGTGCCTCGTCTATGTTCCTCGGGATTGCTTCTGTGCAATCAATTGTTTCCAGTTGATACCCCTAGATCTTTCTTTCTTGAACTACTTAATGCCAAGCCTAGTCTCGCACATTACACATGAGTAATTGATTTCTGAAGTTTTCAATGGAGAAGGTAAGAGTCTATCAAATTCCCCCAAGCCATAATCAGCTACTGATGCTTTAACAGGCTGTGTGAACTGAACGTGAGGCGGGGCTTATGGACACAACAGCAAAAATGGGGCCAGAACAGCTCTCCTTTCCAGTGCCCCCTACAGACAACGTAATACATCACTTTAGTTACGTTTCATGAATTTTCCCTATAGCCTTTTAAGCAGGAAATGTCCAGGTGCTCCTCGTAAGTGGACACAAGCCAAAGGTCCATGCTGGTTTGGCAATGATTGGACATGTCGTCGTGGACCACTTGTTTTCAATGATCCTAGCATTTAAAAACATAATTTATCAGGTAAAATTACCTTGTTCATCTCTGCATCCTCCTGGAAACCTTTTTTATGGGCCTGGGACATCTCCGAAATCAATTTTTTAAGCCTCAGTAAGAGATAAAACAGGGACTTTGGACTTGGCACCAGGTTGAAGGGAACAGGTAATGTTCTTCCCTCTTCAAAGTAGGAAAACCAAAGTTTGGCCCTTGCAAATTTCCACTCCACATCGGCATCATCCTATACAAACACACATGACAGTTCAGCAAAGAGCTGCGTTGCTGAATTGCTGGGGTGCCACTAACGCCATGCGGCTGGGGGGCAAGGGTGCCTGTCAGCACTCTCAGGTCCAAACGCCACTCCCAGATTCTTTTTTTTAATGCTAAGATTCCACTCACGCTCTTTCCAAACTCTGTCTGAAGTTTTATCAGGCTTAGAGAACTACAGATCTCAAAATATGCCTATGTTCATAAATACTGGGAAAGATATAAATGCATTTTTCTACATTCTGAAAAAAAACACTATGAAAAGTTATTAACTCTTTTGTTCGACATGAGATTATAAGTTTGATTAATCTGGGACACATTCCAAAATTTCTGGAATAAAAACTTGTATTACAACTCCAGATTCGAGATATGGTCAATTTTGAAAATCACTACAAAAAAAGATTTGCACACTAGTGGTATTTGTAAGCAACAAACTTTTAAAATAAAATGTAAATTCAAGCTGATACAGTATTTGTAAGGTTTTTTTAAGAACAATAATGAATTTGACATTTCTCCTCCTTCTGACCGACTACCCACCACACCCACTGATGTTGCATTTGGAAGCAAAGAGGTAAAATTGTCTAGATTACTGGACAAACAAGTATAGGAAACAGGCAAAGAACAAAAGGAAACACAGCCTGTATTTTCACCACCATTGAGGAGTTGATGCCTGGAATAAGTAAAACATGTAGTCACAGACTATACAAACGTACAGAAATCTTACCTCGATTTCTTGGAATGAACTGTTGATCATTGCAATTAACATATTTAGCAAGACGATGACCATTGTAACATTATAGACTCCATAAAGAACATAACCGATGTTTTCAATGAATTTGTGATTATAGTTGATGACCACTGACTTCACTTCAGAAAGTCCAAATATAGCCCAGAATAGTGTCTTAAAACTCTCTTCAACTCTGGGGAAAAATAAAGAGAGAAAGGAAATAATACAGTGTATAAATGACAATAATACCATAATAAAAGTGACCTGATTATAATTTGCAAATTACTAGATATTCATGAGAAAATCGTTTACTCAGTTTTCTTTTCTGTAAAATGGGTACAATAGGTTTTATTCCTAAATCATTGCAGGGATGAGGTCATACTGTGCATACTGAGCGCTCAGCTCAGTATCTGGCATATAACAGGCACTCAATAAATGTTATTAACGTAACTTCATAACCACAGATGTCAACATTTAAGTAATCCAGAGCTTTGGTAACGGAATTATTAAAGGCATTACTTAATAAAAATAGTACATTTTGTTAGAGTCTTATTAGGTTTCCTGCTCATCTATACTTCTACTCATATCCAATAAATAGATAATAATAGTGTGTGTCGTAAGGAAAATATGACAGTGTAAACATGGGCGCTATTACCAAAATCATGACAAGTCTTAGGTAGGAAGTTCAATGCTTTATGCGTGATCATTGACCAATGGTAAGCCCCTCTGCTTAACCCAGCCGGTTTCATGTCTCTGATAAACTACGCTTTAGGGGAACAGGACTAACAAGAGGTTACGTGTTAGTTGATGTCTCTTCTCGTCACACAGACGACCTAACATCTGAGTCATCTGTTCCAAGGATATTTTATAAAACACCACTGTGTCCGTGGTGAACCTCAGTCACAACTCTTGTCGCTGTTGATAACCTGGATCTTCTCAATGAGAAGATGTGACAAAGTGAATTAGGAAAGACGCTGTGTCCCAGGAGCCTCGAACAAGAAGGCTCCAGAGGCAAGAGCACAGATTCTAGAGTCATGGACAAGGGGTAACATGCAGGCTGGCTCTTCCATACACCAGCATCTCTGTAACATTCAGCAAAGGATTTAACTTTTCTGAGCTTCCATTTCTTCTTTTTGTGAAACAGAGATAATGAAATGTCATGAGTGAGATATTTTCCCAGTTCTAAAATGTTAACTAGTATTGCTTAATGGTAAGGAAGGTGCCTATATTTTCAAGTTCTTCCACTTAATTTAAAAATCCTCTCATTTTGGGGCGCCTGGGTGGCTTAGTCGGTTAAGCGTCCGACTTTCGCTTAGGTCATGATCTCGCAGTTCGTGGGTTCGAGCCCCGCGTCTGGCTCTGTGCTGACTGCCAGCTCAGATCCTGGAGCCTGTTTCAGTCTGTGACTCCCTCTCTCTCTGACCCTCCCCTGCTCACGCTGTCTCTCTCTCTCCTAGAAATAAATAAAAACATTAAAAAAAAATCCTCTCATGTTGCTAAAGAGAAACTGGAGATGGAAGTCTTCACCAAAACCTGTCTATCCCATGGATACGTATGAACGCTCTTAAGCTAACATATATTTAACCTGCAATCTCCATCATGAAAACATCCAAGATCACATACGTTGTGAAAGCTTCGTTTTGTTTTGCGCCAATGTAGTAGGAGTAGAGGTTGAACATTCCAATCATAAAGGCCACAAATACCATGATGAATATGACCATGAACTTGAAGATGTCCTTTACTGTTCTTCCAAGTGATATTTGCAGAGGCCCAAAGCTTTCATTGGCTGGTAAAATATAAGCTATTCTCGAGAAACTTAGAACTACAGCAATTGCATAAAGACCTTCAGATATAATTTGAGGATCAGAGGGGTCCCATTTTATCCTGGCTAGGAAAGAGGAAACACAAGAGTTATCATGAGTTTCTTTAAGTTGTTTACTTAGGCAACTTCTTTTCTACTACTAAAGAAATAGAATTACATTAGCAATCAAGTCTTTAATGAAAATCTGTTATCTTAAAGGGCTTCTTTACAGGTTAGGCATATGGGAGCTTCTGAGTACATTGAGAAAATGACCAGTTTTCTAGTTTGTGGACAATATTCCATAAAGATAAAGCATAATGGTTAAGACTTCAAACTAGGGACCCAGCATATGAAAAAATTCCTGTGTGTGTGTGTGTGTGTGTGTGTACCCCTACTAGAAGAACTTATCTTAGTTTTATTTTCCCATTTTTAACAATGAGATAATACCACTCCACCCTCTTTCATCTGCTTGCAAATTCAGTAAGTCAATGTATATTCAGTGTTCAGAAGCATTTGGTGCTCCATAAATGGTAGGATTTATTATTTAATCTTAAACTTCTAATTACACTATAATGCAATTTAGGGCTTGCAAAATAAAGTTATTTCAACTAGAAATCATTTTATTGATCACTCAGATAAGCATTTTTACCATAAAAATGTAATAATTATTCATTTAAAATTTTTTTCTGGCATTATTATATTAGCTCATCAAAACCCAATTAAGGAACCATTATGAGGAACAATGCAAAACAACATGTAAGAAAGAGGAAAAATATGATTATATTTGCTAATTTGTATTTGCTTATTTGCTGGCAAGTGAAATTAGGAGAGGATACAAGAAACTAACAAAAGCAGTCTCCTTTTTTATAGTAAGTATGTAAGTACAATGTATATAGATAACTTTGACTTTTTAGAATTCTATATATGAAAAAGCGTTAAACATTAAAACAAATATTAAAAAATAATAAGGAGATCTCTATGTGATACAGCCAACAAACCCACAGATATGTCAACTGAATGTTAACGGATTTTTATCAGAGCATTATAATATGTACTGAGAAGGGATCTATTCTCCTCCCCCTTGGTCTCTTCAAGGAAGGGTCTTCCCTAAGCAAAGAAGTGCATCTCTTTCCCAACCCCCCCCCCACCTCGCCTCATCTGACTCCTATGTTGGGACGGCAGATAACCTGAGTGCACTTGCTTCCGCTCCAGCCTCCTCTGCTCCTCTGTGGAGGGACTTCGCCCAATCACTGGCTGCCATTCCTGCCTTGGGGTGACTGCCCCACCTACTGTTGTCCAGAGACCAAAGGATGCACCTGCCTAATTCTGGACGGCAATTTTACTGAGCCCACTGGCTAGGAGACTCAGAACTATGTCATCCGCCTGGAACTTGATTAGTAGTGGAGGCCATGCTCTGGTCTCTATCGCTCTGTTTTGTTTCTCATCTGGTTTGAAGCACGGCTGGGAAACCATGGTGTCGTGGATTGGAGCCATCCAAGACGCCTACAGCTCCCTTGCTGTCACACAGTTTATGTGTTTTGAATGGAAATGGTACTCAGATGTGTACTGTTTTTAATAGACATGAAGAAGAACAAAAAAATCTCAGACATAAGACAGGCATTCCCAATGGAGTTTGGTAATTGGCCAACTGATCCAGGAGACAGAGTGGGAGGCAGCCAGCCAGCAAGGAGATGGGGGTGGGGGGAGAAGCTGAAAGCACATGTCTTCACACAGATAGTTCTGAAGACGCCAGTTATTCTGTGAGAACTGAGCAGTAACCAAACTACTACTGACTTCCTTTCATCAGAAAACTACGTAGTTATTGACTAAGGTTGACTGCACACTACACACTCACCCAAATTGTAATACTTCACATTGTCTCCCAGTGTGACTTTGGTCAAGTCCTTCAAAGTATCATTTGCATCAATGATGTGCTGGGCTTTGGAAGCATGCCAAAATGCCATGAACCTTGCAATGAACGATGCAGCAAAGATCGCCAACATACCAAAGTCAAGCATATTCCACAACTCAAACAAGTATTCCTTGGGGCCTTCTGTCCAAATTTCTTTACATTCAGCCCATATCATGCCTGCATTGGAAAGGGGTTAAAATAGACCCAATTCAATTTCATTTCAGCCTTATCTCTTCAATAAAATGAATAAGTTTGAAAAGTCTCAGCCTGACATTTGAAGCCCTTCAACATCTGGCCCCATCCCACCCAACCCTAAATGCCACATCCCCACAAAAGCCACAGTCCAGCAGTATCCGCACATCACCTGAAAGCAATCTGACAAAGTTCAAGAGTATCCAAACAAAGTTCAAGAATACCAAACAATCTTGGGGCGCCTGGGTGGCTTAGTCGGTTAAGCGTCCTACTTTCGCTTAGGTCATGATCTCGCCGTTCGTGGGTTCGAGCCCCACGTCTGGCTCTGTGCTGACTGCCAGCTCAGAGCCTGGAGCCTGTTTCAGAGTGTGACTCCCTCTCTCTCTGACCCTCCCCTGCTCACGCTGTGTCTCTCTCTCTCTCCTAGAAATAAATAAAACATTTAAAAAAAAAAAAAAGAATACCAAACAATCTTTAGTACCCATCGATCCTAGACACACAAGTGTATTTACAAGTTGTTCACCATGGACTCTTCATAATAACCGAAACATACAAACACACCTGCTCACACACGTAAAACCCAAGAGATCATGGGACTTCCACAGATGGAGTATTACGCAGCCATTTAATACAATATTTTAATTACTATGGGGTAGTAGCCACGAGTATGGACCTCAAAGCCCTCCAATTACAGGAATTTAATGGTCTAAGGGCCTCAGCAACCGTGTTCTGGAACTATGGGCACTTTTCCCCCAAGGCTATGTTTCCATCTACTTTCAGCTGATGCCTGAGGGCACCCCTTCTTGGGAGACCCTGGGCCCCGCTGATGCCTGACTTCAGCTCAAGTATTTCCTGCCAGCCGTGCTGATATGTCCTCAGACTGAATAGAGATCTGGGATGCTTCTATCGGACCTTCCTTCCCTGCACTCTTCCCTCAGGATCAGCCTTGCCTTCCCCATCTGACGACTCCTGCAACCTTCCTCACCCCCCTTCCCATTCCCTCTCAGTGAATCCCCTTTAGCAAAACTGTTGGCATTGAATCCTGGACAGCCTGGACTAAGATATGTTGGAAGATGTTTATGGCATAAACATTTAAACGTGTTAAGTAAAGAAATAAAAAGTGTCATATATTCTACGACTTTATGTTGAAAACCAGCATGTACAGGACTAGGCGGAGTGACAGGAGCGTGTTATTCCCAGCCGTCTCCTGCTGGGGGAAGATACAAACACGGCACTCTCTAGAACTCAGCGTGCGACCTAGGAGCACAGATTTGGGATCATGTTTGTGGGACCTTGTTCATTCACTCAATGGCAGTGTGATCTTTGGCAAGTTACTTAAACTTTCTAAAGCTCAATTTGTAAAATGGGGAGGACAGTAGTTCATGTCTACCTCATAGGATTGTTTTAACACTTTAAGTAATGCATGTAAAATGCACAAGGCATTGTCTGGCACTTGGAAAAAATAAGAGCTAATATTTCTTGAGCACTTGGTATTTTAAATTTTCTCCAACTGGCACATATTTTATCTTAATTTAAAGGATGTTACTTTGTTAAGCAGAGGTGACTTTGTACCATTACCTTTAAGATACCCTTCCTGATGTCCTACCTCCTTCCAGAGCCATCAGGAGAAATATAACCCAAATTCCAATGACCGGTCAGGCCTGTTAAGAAGTCTGTCCTAGTCTCCTGGCTGCAACTCATCTCCTCCCGTCCCCAGCAAGCACCTGCCCCACATCCTCACACTCGGCCGGACCCCCGTCACAGAGCCCCGTGGTCTCTGCCGCACACAGCTTACTGTGGGCTTTTCTCGAAACTGGCATTCTGCGCACACAGAGGAAGACAACTTCATTACTTGTTAAACTGGCATTCTGCGCACACAGAGGAAGACAACTTCATTACTTGTTTGAATGCTTCCAAGGTAAGAGGGGACTAGGACTGGATTCACGCACACGCCACTGCATCAGGTTAGAACACGAGATCCTGCCTGGCGCTGTACACGCGCCCCCAGACCCACAAGCGCGTGAGGGCCGCGGCACAGGGGCGGAGGCGCATGTGAACTCCGTCCAGCCTAGCTGTTTCCAAGGCTCCCCCTCCTCTCCCACGTGCCCTCTGCCTTTTCTCTCCAGACACAGAATTCATGATGAAAGGTCATCTCACCAAAGCTTAAAAAAACAAAACACAGTGAACTAGTGTGCCTGCAGGAAGCTTCTGTCCTGTTTGCTTCGAGGGGCCCTGGGGGCTGCTGGGCACAGCTGAGACGCCGAGCGTGGGCAGCTTCCCAGGAGGAGACCTCTCCCCAGGTGTCGAGCCAGTATGTCTGGAGACAGGTGCCCAGACTCCTGAAGGTGGCCCGTCCCACGGCTGGGTTTTCAGGAAGAATCGCTTCAGTGTGGACCCACCAGAACAGCAGAGAACAAGCAAGCACCCTCTGCCTTTAAATTTCTTGAAACAGAACAGAAGCACCTGTGCGCTCATTCCAACTATTCCCCAGGAAAGGCCAGCTTACCATGAAGCCGGAGCCCCATTTTGTCTTCTTGTTCTGCAGATGAGACTCTCCAAATACATAGGGTCCCCTATCCCCACCCTCCCCTCTCATCAAGTTCTCCTGGAACTCAGTTCTGTTATTCAGCTTTCCAAGTTTTTCTCTAAAAAAAAAACCAACTAGATAAATTTGCCTTCGGCGAACAATAGAAGCCCCCAAGCCCATCAGCATCTGACCCAAATAGGCCACTTCTTACTAATATCTCCAGAAGGTGCAACAGCTTTCTTTCCAGAACAACTCCAAGAAGAAAACTATTACCAGTGTCAGAAGCTGGCACACAGCCTGACTAGTGCTGTAAAGCGGCTGCCTTCTGCTCCAGCTGCTTGTTTTCCCTGTAAACTCTGTGAGCGAATCTAGGAATCTCAAATAGGTCACTGGGCCACTAGTTCTAAGGAAAATGTTCTTATTAGTAAAACTAAAAGTTGATATAACATTCCTGGTTTAGATTTCTAAGTGAAAAAGGAAAACCTTTTATTGTTTATGATAAAACGTTAGTATGAGATCCATTATGTTTGAGAAAGGATAAAATGAACATTTGTTATATCTAATACCCCTTACACAAAATTGAATGTTTTCAAAGTTTCATCTTGAACTAGAATCTTATCTTGCTTAATGTGTTTTCAGTAGGAAATACCACTCCTATATAAAAATGATAGAAACTCTCAGTGAAAAGTCTAATAATAACCATAGTTATCTGAAACGGATTAAACATCTCCTACATGCCAAGTACTGTTGTACATACTTTATACTCAGGCACACACAGCAACCAGCACATAGGCAGTTTAATAAGATAAAGGCAATGTCCAAATGACTGTTCTTATTTTAAATCCAATGCTCTGGGGCGCCTGGGTGGCTCAGTCGGTTAAGTGTCTGACTTCAGCTCAGGTCATGATCTCACAGTTCTGGATTTGAACCCTGCGTCAGGCTCTGTGCTGACAGCTCAGAGCCTGGAGTCTCAGATTCTGTGACTCCCTCTCTCTCTGACCCTCCCCTGCTCACACTGTCTCCCTCTCTCTCAGAAATAAATAAAACATTAAAAAACCTTTTATAAATCCAATGCTCTAAGTGAAATGTAATTTATTTCTTGTAGTTCTATGACATAAGGTAAATGTCAATTAAATTATTAAAGAAGTAGTGAAAAATCACACTTTTTCTTTAAGGTTTATATTACCCCTGGTGATGCAGTTCACACGCTCAGCCCGCATCCTTATTTCTCCCGGGTGGGGTGCTGTATTTTCTAGTACTTAGTGGGCGTCTTCACCTGAAAGTCCCCAGGGCGCTTCAAAGTCAACTACAACCCAGACTTAGTCATCAGCTTCTCATTCTCTGGGCGCCAACCCTCCTCTCCCTCCCAGAGAAGTGCGGCACCACCGAGCGGTCCATGGTGGCGCCCACATCTGTCCCTCCTTGGGCACAAGTCACCATCAGCTCCCCGAGGCCCGGGTCCCCGCCCTCACCCTGCCCTCAGGGTGGGTCGCAGCCTCCATGCTCACCGTCCTCTTCCTGAGACTGAAGAGCCCATCACCGATGCTGAAGGCCACCCCCTGCCATGTTGGCCATGTGGCCATCACCCACGCCCTCAGGGGCACCTGCCTAACTCCTAAACGTCTCACGGGCGCCTGGTGCACCCTGACGCCCTAGCTTCACACGCAACATTTCCACACCCTGTGGTGTCCTTACTCCCCCCAAAACCGTCTGCCCGGCTAACATTCCCTCGTCTTCAGAGTCTTAGAGGGAAGTACTGTCCAGGGATGCCTTCTCTGTCTGCCCTTTCCACGCCCCACCTCACTCAGATTTAGATGTGCAATCTGTGTACGTTCACAGTACCCTAATCACGCCTCAATTACAGTATTTGTCCCAGTGGTTTGATTTGTGGATTTACTTACTGACCTGACCCCCCACTTAACTCCCCTGGCTGCAAGACTGTGTCTCACAGACCTCAGTATCCTCCTGACCTAAGGAAGGCACCACCTGCCTATTTAATCTATTCACTCGTAAAATCTGATTGAAATGCCTTTCCCCTTCTTCTCCCCACGGTCCTCCATTAAGTTCCTCCTAATCCACCTATATGTGCAAACATATGGTATCTGTCCTTCTCTGCCTGACTTATTTCGCTCAGCATAACACCCTCAAACTGGGGAGAAGGAGGGAGGCAAACTATGAGAGACTCTTGAATGCTGAGAACAAACTGAGGACTGATGGGTGTGGGGGGGAGGGGGGAGATGCACATGGAGGAGGGCACTTGTGGGGATGAGCACTGGGTGTTATATGGAAACCAACCTGACAATAAACTAAGAAAAAAAATGCCTTTCTCATTTGCATTACGTTTAAGGACAAGCCACGTGTATAATTGATCCTGATGACAAATAGTGCATTAGTTAGGACTGCATTCTCTCTGCTTCACCTACCATCTGGGAGATCTAAAGCAAATTATTCAATCCTCACATAAACACTAAAATAGACACTGGTATCATGTTACAGATTACAGAACCGAGGCACAGAGAGACTATGAGTTCATGCATGTAAAGTGCTCTGAACAGTATAAAATATAAAAAAAAACAGTATAAAACTGTGTAAAATCACAGTTGATGTGAAATCTGAAGTCCCAGCTCTCCCAAAACATGAATGGGAGTGCTTCACCCCTGGTGGGATTTGATGAATGCTCTCCTGTTGTTTCTCCTGGGTTTCTTTTGGAAACTGAAAAAGCACACGGCATGTGAGAAAGCTGTGCCCGAATAATGAACCCAAGATAACTGCACTTTAAAAACAGAAAATCTTGGTGTGCGATGCACTGTATCGTGCGGGATGCATTTGCATAGCCGATGTGTGAAGGAATCAGCGTCATTCAGTCAAACTGCTAAGCTGTGAAAAAACAAAAACAAAAACAGAGAGGACACAATGTCAGTCTTTACCTATTACCCAGGATATGATGAGCATCTCCATCCATGAGAAGCAGGACGTCTTCATCCTGAACAGCTGTTTTGCATTATCTGTGCTGGTTTCATTAGGAAGGAGTTTGGTGCCTTCAAATCTGTCAGCTGCATTCATGACTAGGAGTCCCAGAAAAATGGTGAAGGAAGCAGCGTGCGCCACAAACTTCATGAATGGTCCGCGCAAAATCTTCCCCATCTGCCACAGTGCACAGCAAAAGAAAATCTTAACTTTGTTTCGTACACTTTGCAAAACACACACACGTGTGCACCAGAATAAATATCTGTACAATGCAATATTCTCCAAAAATGATTACGTGTATTATATAAGTGATGACAGAACAGTGACTCTTTATGCTGGGCTAAAGTTCTGGTCACATCCCTCATCCACATATGCTCCTATTCTGGATTTATGTTTAAATAAACTTTTCTGTTAAACAATACTTAAGTTCTTAAAATATTATATTACTCTGACAAATAATATTTTATGACAAAAGGCAGAGCATGGTATCATCATCATTCATAAAAAGCAAACTACTTGGGGGCACCTGGGTGGCTCAGTCGGTTTAGCGTCCGACGTCGGCTCAGGTCATGATCTCGCGGTTCATGAGTTCCAGCCCCGCGTCGGGCTCTGTGCTGACAGCTCAGAGCCTGGAGCTGCTTCGGATTCTGTGTCTCCCTCTCTCTCTGCCCCTCCCTGCTTGGACTCTGTCTCTGTCTCTCAAAAATAAATAAACATTAAAAAGGATTTTTAAAAAATCAAACTATTTTGGTGGGTACAAAGTGCTGAGGAAGCAGCAGTGCAAATACTGAACTGAATCTACACGCTTGGACCCTTGGCCGGTACTGGCCTTGCTTGCTGCCCCCGCGTGTTTTACGGACACACAAGCGATGTGGGTGTTGTGGTGAACCGACTCCAAGGAGGGAACTCCCACTGACGCCAGGACAGCAGGGCGGTTCCTGTAATGTATTTGGAACAATGTCCTAGAAAGACACTGGATTTAAACTCCAACATTTTAACCTCATGGTCCATTTCATTCCCTCATTAGCTGAGTGGCAATGAGTAAATTTCCTAAATTATGTAAAAATCAGACTCTGAGTGTGAACTATGGAGGCTGCGAAAGCTCTTGTACTTCTACAGGGCAGGATTAGTTTCCATCTGAGATGCACAAATAAATCCCCCTCGCTGGGGCAGACGGAGGCTTCGCGTCTGGGGTGTGTTTCAGGGGTTCTGTGCTCCTCCTGAAATGGTAAACACAACCCAGGACATACGCCCAGCATTTTGTCTTAGCAGAGGGTTCATAGCTTCCAACAGCCTTTCAAATGAATTTACTGTTACAGAAAAATGTGTAAATGGATAATAACACCGGCAACACGTAGCCAGCACTTGTTTGTAACAAGTACTGCTTTCAGGGCTTCACTCTGCTAACTCGTGTAACCGTGACAACGGCCCTGAGAGCAGGTGCTGCTAAAACAGCAATGCTGCTGATGAACAGGCTGAGGAAGGTCCAGACACGGACCTAAAGGTCACACAGCTTGAACGGAGTGGAGCTGGGACCTGCGAGCCCTTCTCATTTCTGAGGTAACGCTTCTATGTGGTTTACAAGACAATTTCCTATTTTTTCATTAAAGAACATAAATATATTAGTTCTTCTGGAAAAAAGAAGCACCTTCTAATATTGAGAAAAAGTAAATAGAATAATGGAAGGAATACAATCAATGTTGTATTCCTCTGTTCCTACAGACTTTACTGGTCTATATGTTTTTGAAAATCATCAAAGTTAAAGCTGAAATAAATGATATAGTTCAGTCCCTTCTCTCTTGGTAGTCAGGATCTTGTGTCAGACAGAATATCAGAATGCAGGTGCACGTAAGTATTTACCTCACTGTATCTACCTAGATGGAGCTAGCTAGCTTTAAGCCAGTGGCTCCATAGAATTAGCTATATTTACGTATACTGCAGAGCCATTCCAAAGTTGCTTTGTAAAACTACTGTAAAAAGGTCTAAAAGTGATACTTCCATAAGAATACTCATTAGATTAAATCAAAGAGTATTTTTTGTTTGTTTTTTTAAGATCCTGTTTAGGTAGAACTCTCAAATAATCGAGTTAGTGTAAAGCAAAAACAAATGGGTGACACAGTAGGTTTGATTTTCTTTGGCCCATTGTCCTTAACTATGGTTCTGTACAAATACGAACTGTTAAAATCATGGAGTTGACAATGTTCATAGCAGCACTCTCAACAATAGCTAAAACATGGAAAGAGCCTAAGTGTCCATCAATGGACGAATGGATCAAGAAGATGTAGTTTATCTATACTATGGAATACTACATGGCAATGAGAAATAATGAAATCTGGCCATGTGTAGCAACATGGATGGTCCTTGAGGGTGTTATGCTTAGTGAAATAAGTCAGGCAGAGAAGGACAAATATCATATGTTTGCATGTATAGGAGGATTAGGAGGAACTTAACTGAGGACCATGGGGGAGAAAAAGGGGGGAAATGGTGGGGGAAAGGGGGAGAGGCAAAATGCTGACAAAAACTGAGGACTGATGGATGTGTGGGGGAGAGGGGGGATGGGCATGGAGGAGGGCACTTGTGGGGATGAGCACTGGGTGTTATATGGAAGCCAATTTGACAATAAACTATTTGTAAAAAAAAAAAAATCATGGAGTTGAGAACAAAGCAGGCTGGATCACTCTGGGACATGAGGGGAACTGTCCTGGGCAGTGTCCTGCCCCTTAGGGGAGAGTGTATGATTACACACACACACACACACACACCGCCTCCACTTCCACTGGGGTGTGGCCTTTATGTAATCCTGGCTCCTTCTTGATTTTACTAAGAAGGGGGAAAGGAGAATCAAGTCAGGCATTTTTGCCGCTTATGAAACATGCTGGTTTAAGAGGAAAAAAGCAAAGAAACAAATAAACAACAAGCAAACAAACAGTTCATTGGCAGGAAACTAAAATGGTGTGCTCAGATATTCACACCTTGTATTTCTCATCACAAATCACTGAGAGTTTTGTTTCTCTTTGAACTAAGGGAGATTTTGGCACCATTCAGTGGACTTTAAGAACTGAAGTGAGTGATCCATTTTAGTAAAATTTAATTTAAAAAATTAGTAAATTTAGTAAAATTTAGTCATTTATATATTCTGGGATGTAAACAAATTTCTAATACGGTTAAAGAAGGGGACTTATCAATTGAATAAGATGAATAATTAATGCACCTGACAAATTTTTGAGGTTAAGCATTGAAAGAAATACTTGGCTTCAAATATTATATATTATACTTTTTTCAAGTATTTACTAATGACTAAATACCTAACTCCAAATACGAATTTTGAAATAGAAAAGTTTGAAGATAGCTTAAGCTAAAATGATTTGAAATCACAGCATGATCTATTTTTATTCTACTTTATTATTTTTTAAATGTTTATATATTTTTAATATTTATTTATTTATAATGGAGCAGAGAGAGAAGGGGAGACACAGAACCCAAAGCAGGCTCCAGGCCCCCAGCTGTCAGCACAGAGCCCCATGCGGGGCTTGAACTCACAGACCAAGAGATCATGACCTGAGCCGAAGTTAGATGCTTAACTGACTGAGCCACCCAGGTGCCTCTGACCTATTTTTATTGTAATGAGCATAAAACATATTTTGGTTATGGTGTTAAAAGAAAACAAGTCAAGAAAATAAAGTTTCTGAAAGAAGAAAGCAGACTTGAGAAAAGAAAACCAAATTTAAACAGAGACAGAGACTCTGTTGAGGTGCACAGGCTTGCAATTAGATCTGCCTTAATTTTCATGGATGTACTGGAAATTGTTTAGTATTTAAAATAATATTTTAAGTAAAAGCATTAATTTTGAGCAATCTTCCCCCATAACCTGTGAATAATGTTTATGTTCATTGCTAAGGGAAAAATTGTAAAAACTGATTGTATCATCATGCTTCAGAGGCTAAATAATAGGCAGTAAAAAAGATTTTAGATATTAAAAAAAAACCTTGACAGTGTCCTTTTAATTTAATTATTTGCCTCAAGATTCCTACACAAAGATAGAAAACAGATGCCAAGAAAGAAACATGACCAGCGAAGAAGAAATGGTAAAGGAAATCAGGTTAATTAGGATTCAGTCACAATCTAAGAAACTCTACGGACTGCTCCAAATAGTCTCCTTCAGAACAGCAAGCAGTCTGGAAGGCATTGTGCTTTTGAACCCACTGGATATGGAGAAGGACAATTATTCACTCTAGGAAGATACTGTAATTTAACTGATCACAGAGTAATCAGTGAAGAGGGATAATTCAGAACATCCCCACCCCCGAGTACTTCATTCAGCTCAAATCTCTGAAGACTCAGGAAATGTACGTTAGAAAGAGAAGAGACACTACACGCATAGATGCAGCCCATGTGCCCGTAAGGATGATTCAGGACTTTTGTTTCAGACTGGCATCTGTCATTTCTGTGAAAAAGGGAAGAAAAGGAAAACTATAACTTTCTAGAAGAAAATCTATGCTACAAATTTCTAATTCTAGTAAATCTCACTATTCTCATCATTTATGTTTTACTTATAAAAGCTCAGTTTTGTGGCTTCATCTTTTTTAGGGGAAAAAAACCCTAGGATGATAGCTTTTACCTTCAGGAGAAAACGCCCACTTTCCAGCAGCTCCCTATCCTTGCCCCCACAAGGAATTGTGTCGTTCCCTCTCCGCAGAAGGCCTTGCACCTGCTGTCACCATAAACCACTTAGGAAGGTCCCTAAGCTAAAGCAGCAAGTGTGTGACTATGTAAGAGGAAGACAGTATGTTGGCAAAGGGATACATGTGTTTGCATCCACACATTACAAATGTCTGAGAATGAGTCAAGGCCATGTTAAGAACAGTAGGCACTGAACTGACATTTTCACAGGGCACATGGATGGTCCAGCAGATGTTTCAGCCACAGAGCTTGAAAATTATTTCAGTCTGACTCTCAACGTGGAGCTTAAACATTCCAGAGATGTGGTTTCAAAAACATGGAAGAATAGGATTTTGGGCACTTCAATTCTGTGCCGGATAACAGGTCCACATGTTTCACTAAGGAAACTTGTACTTTCCCACTAAAGAAAGGCTGGGTCCATTTGAACATATTTTCATCAAAGTCTGGGCACCTGGACTTTGCTGACAGGCTATCTTTGCTGCCCAGTTACGGAGTACTGCATCCCTAAAATAAATCGTCTTCACTGAAACAAGCATCACATTAGTATTTACATGATTGTTCTCAATTTAGGTTAAGATTTATCTGGCCATATTAGCTAAAGTAAATACAAAAAAGTGACTTTTGTCTCAAACTTTGTCAGAGGAGGAATAAAAGACCAAAAAAAAAAAAAATGTCTATCTTTTAGGATTATATTTGAACTATGTGCTCAATGCATACTATAACCTCAAAAGATATAGGAATAGATGTGCGGACAGAAAGGATAGAAACATAGTTAACTAGGTTTTCTTTCTCAATTTAATAGTGGTGATATGACAAGTTAATTTTCTACCCACTTTTCCCCTCTATTTCCTATAGCAAATAGACGTTATTTTTGTAATATTAAAATCAATAATATCATTTAAATCCAATTCTGACACCCATGAAATTTTCATTTGGGAAACAGAATTTTCCTTGCTTAACTGGCTGTGGCATATATAGCTTGACATACTTGTAGCAGACGGTAAGCCCCAGGCCTCACAGACATACCTTGCTGCACGGAGCAAACCAGTAAATGAGAGCCAGGAAGGGCAATCCGACGGCCACCGCCAGGACCACGAGGAACTTAACCGCCATGGTCTGCTGCCGCAGGCCGGAGAGGTTCTCATACCATATGGACAGAAGCTGCTGTTGACAGTTTGGATGAGCTACAAACTAGCAGGGAAGTGACAAAACATTTGATAGCTTGATTAAAGAGATGTTCACCAACTCTTGCATTCTAAATATTTTGTTCTGCGGTTTCACATAAAAACTACTGTTAGAATTAAAGAACAAACATCTGTTGATGAATGGATCAAGAAGATGTGGTTTATCTATACCATGGAATACTACATGGCAATGAGAAAGAATGAAATCTGGCCATGTGTAGCAACATGGATGGACCTTGAGGGGGTTATGCTGAGCGAAATAAGTCAGGCAGAGAAGGACAAATATATGTTTGCACGTATAGGAGGATTAGGAGGAACTTAACTGAGGAACAAGGGGGAGAAGAAAGGGGGAAATGGGGGTGGAAAGGGAGAGAGGCAAACCTTGAGAGACTCTTGAATGCTGACAAAAACTGAGGACTGATGGATGTGGGGGGGAGGAGGGATGGGCATGGAGGAGGACACTTGTGGGGATGAGCACTAGGTGTTATATGGAAACTAATTTGACAATAAACTATTTGTAAAAAAAAAAAAAAAAAAAGAATTAAAGAACAAACATAGAACATCTAGTTGACAAGCACCAAGCAAGGCGGTAGGAGGTTCTGACGTGTATTATATAAATTAGAAGACTTCAATTTATCAAATTTTTCCTTTATAATTCATGAGCTTTCTTTGAAAGCATGGAGAATTTCCTGAAATTTAATATTATAAAAAGATTCATAAATGCTTTGCATAAGGACTTTTACAATTATAAGTTGGGTTTCTTTGGTCCATCTAGAAAGAGTGATGTAAAGATCCCACTGGCCCAGGGGCACCTGGATGGCTCAGGTGGTTAAGCCTCAGACTCTTGATTTCAGCTCAGATCATGAACCCAGTGTTATGAGATTCATTGGGCTCTGTGCTGAGCATGAAGCCTGCTTGGGATTCTCTCTCTTTCTCCCTCTGTCCCTTTCCTGCTGCTTTCTATTAAAAAAAAAAAAAAGGTAAAAACAATAAATAAATCCTACTGGCCCAGATGTGTAAATACTTTCTTTTTTAAAAAATGTTTATATATTTTTATGAGAGGGAGAGACAGAGTGTGAGTGGGGGAGGGGCAGAGAGAGAGGGAGACACAGAATCAGAAGCAAGCTCCAGGCTCTGAGCCGTCAGCACAGAGCTGGACACGGGGCTTGAACTCAGAAACCATGAGATCATGACCTGAGCCAAAGCTGGACGCTTAACCAACTGAGCCACCCAGGCGCCCCTTAAATTCTTTCTTGAAACAGCAGGCCATCTGTTGTGTGCTGACCTACAATGCTAACCTCATTAGCTCCCATTTGTATATGGGTCTGTGTCTGGACTGCCTATTCTATTACACTGATGTATTCTTATTCCTGTGCCATAAATTCTTTCAATTAACAAAACTTTATAATTAATTTTTTTTGTTTTTTCTCAGAATTTTTTAATTCTTACATATTTATTTTCTACCACTGAATATATGATAGGGGGCAACATTATTTAATCTACAAGAAGCAACAATGTAAAATAAAAATTGATAAAAATATTGAAAGGTTAAAGGAACTACAAATGCTTAAAGAGGGTTAACCTTGAAGGTAATTAAAACAAGGAACAATGTTTATCTTCTCAGAGTGGTAAGATTTAATAATACTATTGTGAGTAGAAAAAATAAGCCCTCTCATACACTGTTGGCATGTATATAAACTGTTGCACTGTTTTTAAAGGAAACTTAGCAAATATTTTAAATTAACAAAAACCTGAGGAAAGTAATAAACACCTCTAAATAGTAAGCTGATTAAATGAAATAATGATATAACAACATAGCCTTTGAAAAGATGAGATGGATGTTTATTAACTGAAATGTAAAGATGTACAAGATATAAATTAGTGGAGAGAAATATAATGGAGAGAAACTAACTCTCCATTAAGAATTGGGAAGACGGGCACCTGGGTGGCTCAGTCGGTTGAGTGTTGAGATCAGGTCATGATCTCATGGTTTGTGAGTTTGAGCCCCCCATGTTGGGCTCTGTACTGACAGTGTGGAGCCTGCTTGGGATTCTCTCTCTCTCTCTCTCTGTCTCTCTCTCCCTCTCTCTTTCTCTTGAAAGAAAGAAATAAACATTAAGAGAAAAGAACTGAGAGGACAGAGGAAGCCTGGCTGGCTCAGTCAGTGGAACATGCAACTCTTAATTTTGGTGTTGGGAGTTCAAGCCCCACATTGGGTGTAGAGATTGCTTAAATGTAAAATCTTTAAAAAAAAAAGTTGGAAAGATAGAAAGGGGGGCATATCTAGTTGTTTTATTATAGAACCTATCCTTAGAAAGTGTATTTTTAAAGATCCCTAATCTAAGGAAGCAGTCAAGAATGGGGGGGGGGGGGGCACTGCGTGAGGACAGAGACTGAAAATGCTCCCCAGACACAGATGGGGCAGGAGGGGTTCAAATGTACTAAGACAGGAAGTGAGGGTGCTGGTCCTGGATTGGAGAACAACAGAGGGGGCATGGAACGGAGCCTCAAACGTGGATGTTCCTCTCATATAACCAACGCCTTATCATCTGGACACACGAAATCATTTTTATATCATTAGTTAAGTAAAGGAAAGTGGCTGGCAATCAGCGCATAAACACGTGCAGACGTCCAAACACATAGACTGGTGTATAGTGTAGGTTACAGGACCCACAACTCAGCTCCTATGATTAGAGGACCTGCCTCATCCAACTGTTGGTTAGAAAAATCCAGCTCACGGGGCGCCTGGGTGGCTCAGTCGGTTAAGCGGCCGGCTTCGGCTCAGGTCATGATCTCGCGGTTCGTAAGTTTGAGCCCCACATCAGACTCTGTGCTGATCACTCAGAGCCTGGAGCCTGCTTCGGATTCTGTATCTCCCTCTCTCTCTGACCCTCCCCCACTCACACTCTGCGTGTCTCTCTCTCTCAAAAAAAAAAAAAAAAAAAAACAAAAACAAAACCCAGCTCACGATAATTATGCCAACCCTTCATCCTTATGTAGCAGCAATAAGAATGGAAATAATGTAAATGCGGCTTCAGGCCTGACCTTACTTTTTTTACTTCATATTTAATGGCAAGTTTTAAACGGCTGAGATTTGGACGGCCGTGATCTCCTCCACTGTGATGCATTTCAATGTCCCCATTCAGAATGGCCTCCACTTCTTCGGTATTTCTGCACAGGTCAAGGAGTCCAACCACAAAATCCTTGCACTGCATTGATAGTTTTTTGTAGTCATTCTAGGAAAGACAAAGCAAAGCAAAAAACAATAAGAGAGAAGTAGCACATTTACTATGGGATGCAGTGGAATTTATCAGTGACTTCACAGTTGGTAGAGAAAACAAACAGAAAAATTCTATCTTTCGGTTTACTGTTCTTTTAATGTGCTTTAATTGCTGTTCTGCTAAGTGATTTCTGAAATGTCTTAGCAACATAAAGATTTTCTTCATATCCAAAGAAAGGAAATTTATCTAAAACAGAATCAAAGCTATTGAATAGTGTACTGTGCCAAAATCACCTGTTGGGTCAGAAGAAATACCTAAGTAAGCAACTTTTCCCACAGCATGATCATACTATTTTGCATACACTGTATCTCTTACATTCATGACTTCATCAGCAAGCACACAATGTACACTTGATAGGTCTTTGTAAGATCTTGTAAGCTGGTGTTGGTGAACTTGAGAAACACAGGACATTTGAAAAGGTTCCAGAGAAAAGCAAACATATGTCATTTATCTATTTAATAAATTGTGTTCAGAAACTTACTGTACCAAAATTAGGGTCAAAAGACAAGATCTAATATAAAGTCTGAAAACCAAGATTCTTCTTTGGAGAAAAGAAAACTTAATGAAAATGCTTCTGTTGTAATTTATTGCTGATGAATATTATGTTGGGAAGACTTAGAAAGTATAGATCATAGTCAAACATAAAAAATTCACATCTTGAAAAGATGCTCAACATCGCTGATCACCAGAAAAATGCAAATCAAAACCATAATGAGATACCACCTTACATCTGTCAGAGTGGATAAAATTAAAAAGACCGGAAGTAACAAGTGTTGCCAAAGATGTAGAATAAAGGAAGCTTCCAGGCACTGTTGGCAGGAATATCAGTCGGTACAGGTGCTATGGAAAACAGTATGAAGGCCCCTCAAAAAATTAAAAATAGAAATACCATAGTCTCCAGTAATTTCACTACTGGATATTTACCCAAAGAAAATGAAAACACTAATTCAAAAAGACACATGGACCCTGATGTTTGTTGTAGTATTATTTACACTGGCCAAGAAGTGGAAGCCATCTAAGTGTTCACTGATAGACGAATGGATAAAGAAGATGTGGTGTGTATACTAGGGAATATTATTCAGCCATAAAAAAGAAGGAGACCTTGCCATTTGTGACAACATGAATGGAGCTAAAGTGTATTATGCTGAGTGAAATAAGTCAGATAGTGAAAGACAAATGCCGTATGATTTCACTTATGTGGAGACTCTAACAAACAAAACAGACAAACAAAGCAGGAACAGACCCACAAAAAGACTGGTGGATGCCAGAGAGGAAACGGGTGTGGGGAATGGACAGAATGGGTGGAGGGGAGTGGGAGGTACAGAATTCTAGTTACGGAATGAATACGTCAGGAGGGTGAAAGGCACAGAGTCGGAAACACATTCAGTGATACTGGAATAGTGTTGTTAGGGAGCAGTGGTGGCTGTACACACTTGTGAGCACAGCATGAGGTGCAGACATGCTGAATCACCATGTTGTACACAGAAACTGGTGTACACATCTCTGTCTAATTTATATAAACCATGTATTGCCGGGAGCCGCACCGGCCTCTCTGGATGGCAGTCACAGCAAGGAAATGGCAGTGTTTGCACAGCTCCTGCCATGAGAAATGAAAACTGGTATCTCCTTCTGCTACTACTGGTTCATATTGGAAATGAGGCTGCTGGTATTGATCAGGCCTCACAATATTCCATATCAGACCCATATTCTGAACACAGATACCTCATAAGGAAAAGCATATTCCTGCCTTTGCAAGAGAGATTTTAGATGAAAGCACTATGGATGATTGTCAAAAGGCTCTTCCTATGGGCCTTGCAGACCCAAGACTTGCATAATAAGGGGGTTAAGAACACAAGAGTTACAACTGAGACTGGCCCCGAGACAAAGAGCCTATTTTGGGGTTAAGGTACAGATAAGTTCAGAATATAGTTACTACATATATCTTTGCTAATTGGTGAAGCATTGCAGTCTCTTCCTCAAGGCCTTCATTCCTCAAACACCCTCCCTTACACTGGCAACTGGGATGAGGATAGATAAGAGTAGCTAAAACATAAACCCAGGTGCAAAGACTGATACATATAGAGCCCCCTTGGTAGTTTCCACTAACTAACCAATTCAGAATCATTCATCCTCTTGAAAGCCAGACAGAATGACTCCTAGCTTATCTATATACAATTTAATTTATATGTTATCCTGTTTTTCACTAAGAACATTCTGTTATTTCCTTGGTCGGAATAATTCTGCAATTGATATCTCAAAAGGCCTCCCATTGTAAGAAATTCCTTTCTATGACTTCATCTTGTTGCTGAACCTTTAAATAGAGACACAAAGACCGACAGGACAGAGATGCCTGCCTGGTGATCAGAAGGAATCTCGGGGCTCTCTCACTCTCTCTCTCGCCAACACCGTCCATCCTTCAGGGACCCCTGGACCTGCCAGAGCTGACCTCAGACAATGTATTAACATCTTCATTCAAATCTTTCTAATACTTCCTCTTTTTTGTCTTACATTGAAATAAGGCCATTTATAGCTCAATGTTAACCAAGAAAACCTATCAGCTTGAGTTTGTTGCATTGCAAATGGATTACATTACTTCATTTAATCTTTTAGGTCATCTTGCTCAGTTTGCTTAAATAAGGTGTCCAAGATCATGTAGCCACTAAGTGTCAAAGTTAGGCATTAAATCCAGCTGTTAGGCCCCAAACTCTCTGCCTTTAAGAACTATGCCACTTTGTCTCTTCTTTGTTGAAAGCTTTTCTATTTTGAAAAGTGAGCGGTAGGAAGCACTTAGAGCAAATACTATTCTCATTTTCCACCTCAAAAAACTAAGGTTCCCTGATTCATATAGCCTCAGTGGCAGAGGTTACTCCTAGAGCTACAGCTTTGCTAGTTGTTTCTGCCATCCTGAAGCTGCTGGGGAGAATGAAAACGTCCCTTGGGAGAATCAGGAGAGGAGATGGTGGAGAAGTTCGAGGAGCTCCGAATGTTAGTCAAAAAGGTGGTATTTTGGGGAAGTCTATATGGGTATGTGCACAGCACCTAGCCGGGCTCCTCTCTGTAAATCATGCCAAGGGACCTATAATGGTTTTGTGACTTCTAAACAGGCTATGCTTTGCTAACTGCGGGTCCAAATAGACTCGATGAAGGCAAATTGATGAAACAAATTCTGCCTAATGGAGAATGGCTCATGCCCCTTCTAAACAGGTATCTGATCAGATAATATAAGGAAGTCACAAGGAAACAGCTTTATCCTTTTCATGAAACAGTCAGTTCAGGTCGCGGAGACAAATTTTAAGGTGTGCAAGTACATATGCTCCCCTGTCCACTGTCTATAGCGTGGTTAGGGGCTTGGGCTTTTCTGCTCGAATGTACCTGTAATCAAATCACAGATCCTTCAGTTTTTAGCCATATGATCTGAGATAAGCTAAAATCATTACATGAAGTAGGTGCTATTTTTTTTTAAATGTTTTATTTATTTCTAGGAGAGAGAGAGAGACAGCGTGATCAGGGGAGGGTCAGAGAGAGAGGGAGTCACAGACTGAAACAGGCTCCAGGCTCTGAGCTGGCAGTCAGCACAGAGCCCGACGCTGGGCTCGAACCCATGAACCGTGAGATCATGACCCAAGAGAAAGTCGGACGCTTAACCGACTAAGCCACCCAGGCGCCCCAAGGTAGGTGCTATTATTATTTCATTTTACAAAAGAGGAAACTGAGGATTAGTGAGATTACATAAGTGTTAAAGAATCTACATGTGTAGGGCACCAGGGTGGCTTGGTGGGTTGAGCACCTGACTCTTGGCTTCAGTTCAGGTCATAATCCCAGGGTAGTCAAATTGAGCCTCGCATCAAGCTCTGTCCTGGTACTACAGAGCCGGCTTGAGATTCTCTCTCCTTCCTTCTCTCCTTCTCCTCATCTACTCATTCTCTCTCTCAAAAAATTAAATTAAAAATTAAAAAAAAAAGATTGGTGGCACATGGGTGGTTCAGTCAGTTGAGCGTTTGACTCTTGATTTCGGCTCAGGTCATGATCTCAAGGTTCGTGGGCTTGAGCCCACATCAGGCTCTGCACTGACAGTGTGGAACCTGCTTGGGATCTCTCTCTGTCTCTCTGCTCCTTCCCTGCTCATAATTGCTCTCTTTCAAAATAAATAAAGAAACATTTAAAAAACAGCTTAAAAGGTTATCTCTCTCCCTCTCCCTCTGCTCCTACCTGCCTCGAAAAAGGAAGAGAGAAAGAAAAGAGAGAGAGAGAGAGAGGGAGGGAGAAAAGAAGAAAGGAAAAAAAGAAACCACATATGCAAAGTACTTAACATGGTGCTGAGCATTTAGTAAGCATTCCATAAACCACAATTATTTTATTCTGTATCATCAAAGACAAGATCTTTCTTTTTTTTTTTTTAATGTTTTATTTATTTCTAGGAGAGAGAGAGACAGCGTGAGCAGGGGAGAGTCAGAGAGAGAGAGAGTCACAGACTGAAGCAGGCTCCAGACTCTGAGCTGTCAGTCAGCACAGAGCCCGACGCGGGGCCCGAACCCACGAACCGCGAGATCATGACCTGAGCAAAAGTCGGACGCTCAACCGACTAAGCCACCCAGGCGCCCCGACAAGATCTTTCTTGACATTTTTAAGTATCCTTGCAGCTAAAGGCAAAACTTATCTTGCTCTGAAACATCTTTTCCCTCTTTCTCAGCCTCCTCAAATCCTATGCATTCTGCCCATACAGAGCTGAAATGTCATGTACCTGTACCTCCCCTGAAAACTAAACTGAATTAAATGTCGCTTCCTCTGGACTACCGGAGCACATCACTTAGAGCCCATCTAGTAACTTCACTTCTCTCTGTATCATTTTTATTTATGTGTGCACGTGCTTCTCAAGTCACCGTGACTTCCTTCAGCGTATACATCTTCCTGGCCTCAACAACACCTCTCGCCGTGCTTTGAACACAGACACGGCTGGAGGACTCAGCATGCCTGCGCTCTGATCCCAGCTCTGCCAATGACCACTCGATGGTCATGGGCTTCAACTGACCTTTCTATGCCTCCATTTCTTCATCGGAAAAGCAACTAACAGCTTCTCAAGGTTGTGATAAGAATTAGACATAAATGTAAAGTCTCAACAGAATGTGCCTTAATGGTGGTGATCACAAGTTTTACTACATAGCATTGTAACAAAGAGCTTGTTGAAGAAAACATACAAAATTACCTCCTGTCCACAATAACTAGCACAATGCTGAGCACCTATGGAAGCTTATCAGTGCACCTCGAGTGACCAGGGAAGAGAAGTTTCAGACCTACCTTGAACTCCTTCTCAATGTTGGCCAGCACCGCCAGCTCGTTGCTGAGCTCTAAAGCTGTCATGACTGGGTCTTCACTAGACAGTGACAGGTAAGCCGGACTTGCCAGGCCCTTGTAGGCATTAATCCGAGATCGGGAGTGACTGAAGGAGTCATGCTTCTGTTTCTGGCTGCACTCATTGCACTTGCAGAAATAGTCATGAGGCCGTTCAATCCGAGCACCCTTCCGCAAGAGGGTGTGCACAATTTCGTATTCCTGGCAGTGTGCGGCCAGAATGATTGGAGTCACATCATGAGAGAACCGCGTTCCATCTTCATCATAGGCATAAAAATCGTCCTGCTGCAGTTCAGACTGGCTGGGGCTGGTTGCTAACCTCTTACCTTCAGCAAAAGCCGGGTGACTGAGAATAGCTTCCACAATCCGAACATAACCTTTACTAATAGCTAGAAGCAGAGCATCCCCAACACGGGAGAGGTTTTCTTTCTTGAGAAGAAGTTCCGTAATTTCCAGATGCTCGTTGGCCACGGCCAACTGCAGGGCATTCTGGCCCATGTAATCCACACAGTTAACATTGAGGGAGAGACATTCTTCCAACATCTTCCTCACCACCGGGACGTTGCCATATTCAGCAGCATCTAAAAAACGTTCCTCCTCAACAGATAAGCTTGTTGAGCGATCGTTAAACATGTATGCTGGTCCTCGGTTAGCTAACCTTCTCCCCTTTTCACGGAGAATCGTCTGCCGCCGGTGGGCCAGTCTGTTGTCGGTGTCCCGACTGCAAGGAAATAGAAAGATTGGGAACAAATCACATTAAGAGCATCTGAGTGAGCCAAATGACCTGCCATTCAACTAATGCAACCCTCAAGTATATGAGATGTTGTCTCATCATTTCTAGACCAACTATGATACAAATGAAGACGAATTTATTTGCTAATGGATTCCAAGAACAACTTCTTTAAGAAAGCCAAGCACTTTGCAGATTTTAATGTTTCCATTTGGGGTGGAGACTCTGGCAATTCCCATCATCTCTCTGTGCCATTTAAATAAGGATTATTTTGAGTGTTTCAATCACAGATGGTATAAAAAAGACCCACAATTAGTCACCGATTTGACATACAGTGTGAAAATGTTAAAAAAATAGAGAAAATAGCAAATCCATTATACACATACTTATTGGTTCCCTCCTATGCCAGGGCCAGGCACTGTACAAGGCCCAGGAAAATCAATGAGAAAAAAAAGTAGAAACTTTTCTGCCCTTAAAGATCTTATAATCTGGGGCACCTGGGTGGCTTAGTCGGCTAAGTGTCCAATTTCAGCTCAGGTCATGATATCATGGTTCGTGGGTTTGAGCCCTGCATCGAGCTCTGTGCTGACAGCTCAGAGCCTAGAGCCTATTTCAGAGCCTGTGTCTCCCTCTCTCTCTGACCCTCCCCTGCTCACGCTGTCTCCCTCTCTCTCTCTCTCTCAGAAATAAATAAAACATTTTTAAAAATCTTTAAAAAAATCTTATAATCTTGGGGTGCCTGGGTGGCTCAGTTGGTTACACGTCCAACTTTGATTCAGGTCATGATCTGGCTATTCGTGGGTTCGAGCCCCACGTCGGGCTCTGTGCTGACAGCTCGGGGCCTGGAGCCTGCTTCAGATTCTGTGTCTACCTCTCTCTCTGCCCCTCCCCTGCTCACACTGCCTCTCTCTCTCTCAGAAATAAATAAAATTTTTTTAAAAATCTTATAATTTAAAGGGAGAAACTGGGATCCAGCACATTGCCTTGTTATCAGTTGTTTGTCATGATAAACCTATAGCAGTGTTATGTAGCCTAGCTTCCAGAAGAAAGTTAAAGGCTAAAAATGGAAGGATGAGTAGGAGTCAAGTGAGGGTGTGTTTTGGGAGGGTGGGACAGAAGTTGGGTGCAGGTAGAGAGCTTTCTCCAACAGAAGGGTCAATCAGACATTATAGCATGGGTTTCCTTAACAGGAACAGTTAGGACCTGGACTCTGCCAGGTGTTCTAAAAATCGCTGGAAATGAGAACATTATGATTAAGGCACAGGTGGGAAGGAGCACTTCTGTGATGGAGATGAGATCCAAAGAGATGGCCAGCCCTCTGTGCAGAACTTCAGTCTGTGATAGGAGAAAGTGCTCCCTTCTCTAGTCAAATGCTACAATGGACTTTTTCTTCCTTGTTGATTTATAACTGTATGTCTTAAAGTTTAAGGCTCAATCCTTATCATTGTCACTAACCACAGACTCAAAGGGACAACCCTCTGTGGAACAGGTAAGGGTCATATTACGAGGGTGGGGGCTGAAAAGAAAGAAAAAGGTGTGGTTGATGATAGATGTGATAGATGTTTCCTCTCTTTGTAAACGTTTTTTAGAGCCATCCCTCTGAAGACAGTCACAAATTTCCCAGTATGAAGAGAACTTAAATTGGTCCAAAGACCTCATAAATAATCTTCTCCTCCAATGTGCCCTAAATATCTTTTTCTATGAGTCCTTGTCCGTCTTGATATACAGTCTCCAGGCAGTGTCGTCTACAGTTGTGTGATGTCCAAAGAAATAGCAAGATGTCAGCCAGCTCAGAAATGATTATGATTCTCCAAGGAGCCTGAACCGTATGCCGCCATATTAACCAATGTTTTCCATAGACTCATTCAAGAGTGAGCCCTCCAGCAGTCCATGGCATCTCTTCAAAAGTGACCAGCCTGATGTTTTATTAAAGAGACAACTTTGTAAATTTAAAAAATGATGTCAAGGGCCAATGGCTACAACATCAGTAATTTCTAAAGTCAGTCTTTTGATATGCATGGGGAACTTTTTACGTATTAAGAGAATGATTTCTACATCTATTTTGCTTTCTATAGCTATTGCTTTGTTTTCAACTCCATTTTTAACGTTATCAAAGTCTTGCACATACACAATTAGAGGCCTCTCTATACGTTACGATAACAGCAGCACTCTGTGCTGCATTTCCCCTACTTTCTGATCCCCAGAAGCAATAATGTCAACTATTTTAGCTGATTATTTTACAATTTAAATCTTTAAAGCCATACAACTCGGTAATATTGTTATTTCTGGATTTCCAGGTTTGTCATTATCTATGGGCTTCCCACTAAAGGTGAGCATTCATCCCACTTGTACAATCTTCCTGCCTTCACACACATGCCCACATGGACACACTTCAAACACATCTCATGGTCTCTTATCATTCCAGGGTAGTTACAGCATAACTTTGGCTAGATAACCACTATATTACGATAATACAGTGATAGTCCTAGATGTGACAAGGAGTATACAATGGTGTCTTTTCTTTCTTTATTTTTTTAAAATATTTTATTTATTTCTAGGAGAGAGAGAGAGAGAAACAGCGTGAGCAGGGGAGGGTCAGAGAGAGAGGGAGTCACAGACTGAAACAGGCTCCAGGCTCTGAGCTGGCAGTCAGCACAGAGCCCGACGCGGGGCTCGAACCCATGAACCGCGAGATCATGACCTAAGCGAAAGTCGGACACTCAACCGACTAAACCACCCAGGCGCCCCTACAATGGTCTCTTTTAGGACATCACTTCCCTATGTTCTGAAATCCAGTTGTTAATAATTCTCTTCCTGTATTCATACACTTAATGTTCTATGTACTTATAACTAATTCAACAAAATTCTACTCTCCTTTGGTCTAAATATTCTTTTAATTTATCCAACATACCATGTATTTTTTTAAATTTCAGCTTCTTGAAGAGTCTTTTCTATAGCCTCCTGATCTGCTAACCTGGACCTGGTTGGGATCTAGACTCAAACATATGTTGTCTTAGAATCTTCCTTTCAGCATCATCCCCAATATTCTCTTTGCTTTTGTGTTGGGTTCCTTGTGTTCTGAATCCCAGACTCTCCTCTTTTTTGGCTCACTCCTGAGCCCCAGTACAGCACATTCTCCACTCGCTGACTGACAAAGGATGCGCAGGAGGTAAATTTCTTGAGATTTTGCATGCCTAAAAGTGACTTTGCATCATTGACAATCTTAATGGGTCCTTTGACTGGGGAGAGCATTCTAGGTTGACAATAATTTTGAAAGCTTTATACTGTTACATTCTAGGTTTTGTAGTTGCTATTGGGAAATAGGATTCTGGATGTTCTCTTTGCCTCTGGTGCCCTAAAATCACATAACATTTTGTTGGAGGGACTCTCTTTTCCGCTGTGGTTCAGTAAATCTTTTCATCTAGAGAAATGGGTCCTCTTCTGAGAAATATTTTTTTTTAATGTTTATTTATTTCTAGGAGACAG